TTATTTGCTGCTATTACAAGGTATCTATACATTTTCTTCAGTTTCAGGCAGATACAGATTTGAGTGTATATGTATAATAACAGCACAGTTATTTTAGAATGTGGGTTTTGTTAGGATAGTACTGAGTGTTATCCAAGAGAACTTGTATAAGATTCCCCATATTCAGGGTGGGATAAGTTTACTTCTGGTTCAGTTTCAATGAAATCCTACAGTACTATAGAACTGCTTTATTGTTTTGTATTGGTGCCAGTATGGTTCTATTTGGAGTGAAGCCTTCAGGAGTGTTGTGGAAAAAAATAGACTCGTACATGCGTTCTTCTGGTGACTGCCTTGAAAACCCCTAATACCAGTTGCAAAATAGATAGTTATGTTTGTTATGTTTGTTAAAAATAACTTTTGTATTTCAATGCCATCTGAAATACTTGCTTTCAATGCGCTAAAAATGCTTCTTTCCTTTATTGCTTTTTTAAAGGAAATACCAGTTGGTGTTCTGTTACACAATTATTGAGAGGAACAACAGGCAGTTCATACCAGTTGTTCGGAGTGGGACTGGGGGTGACCTTGTGCAGACATGCACTAACCCACTTGACAGTTTCTTCCCCTTTGATCCCTACGTGCTCAAAAGGTATAGTTTGAAAATACACAATTCATTTCTGTCTTGTAAAAAAACACAAACTAAAAGCTGTAAGAAACTTTTAGGTTCCCACAGATCACTTTCTTCCCTGAGCTTTAGTACTTCTCTTGTAGTGTATTTCAACCAGAGACTGTCAAGAGATTTTAATAGAAATTTACCCCTACTTGGGTGTAAAACAATGAAAAAGAAACAGAACCCATTTTCCAGGATGGAAATACCATAATGTTAGCCTGATACATATTTTGTTGGTGCAGTTGTAGTAGTGTGTCTTTCTTTTGTTTTGTTTTGCTTTGCTTTGTGTTTTTTGTGTGTATTATTTTTTTTTTAAACTTGAGCATAGGGATTCTTGATTGGAGACTTTATCTTATTTAAGTAGCTTAATTTTTTTTAATGAATAGTAGATTATTTCTGGTTTTCCAAATGTCTAATACTGGGATGCTGTTCTGGTTTAACCCGGTCGGCAGCAAAGCACCACACAGCCGTTCATTCACCCTCCCCCCTCCCTCTCTGGGATGGGGAAGAGAAACGGGAAAATGTGGGTTGAGATAGAGACAGTTTATTAAGACAGGATAATAATAATAATATACTACTAATAATGTGTACAAACAAGTGATGCAAAATGCAATTGCTTACCACCTGCTGACTGATGCCCAGCCTATCCCCGAGCAGCCGCTCCCCCCACCTTGGCTGGTTCCCCCATATTAATTGTTAAGCATGACGCCAGATGGTATGGAATACCCCTTTGGCCAGTTGGAGTCAGCTGTCCTGGGTCTGTCCCCTCCTGCTGCACCCCCAGCCTGCCCACTGGCAGGAGAGAGCGAGAAGTTGAAAAGTCCTAAGAACTGCTCTGCAACAATTAAAACATCAGCATGTTATCAGCACTCTTCTCATCCTAATCCAAAACATAGCACCCTACCAGCTACCAGGAGGAAAATTAACCCTATACTAGTTGAAACTAGAACAGATGCTTTAATTACTTTAATGTTATGAGAGCAACGTTCTTTTTGTTGCCTTTTGAAAGAAAGTTGTTTCCATAGAAGGAAGACCTTTCTTAGAAATACATGTGCTTAAAAGAAGCCATACAGAACTATCAGTTAAAAAAATGGAATAAAATTGTGCTTAATTGAGAGGATAGTGTAGCTATTAAAAATACTCACATAGGAGACTTGATTGTAGCCAGACTCCTCAAGCAAATATTTTAAATTTGTATTCATCAGCAAAATGAAGTTATTCATGGGATTAGTTGGGGATTATACATGTATAGAGATTTAATAGCTTGTAAAATACTAAAGAAGGCTATCAAAATTCCAAGCATTTTGCATTGTATTATTAAAATGAAAAAAAATAATGCTATTTTTACTGAACTTGAACTGTGTTTTAATTCTGCTTTCAGATCAAAGAAGATTATTGATCCTTTTTATCAGTTCTGGGAAGAATTGAGTGCTGAAGATCTTGAGAATCTGAAGAAACCCATTAAAAGGGTAATCTTTCCTGATCAAAATCTAGTTCAACTTTTGCGAAATCTCTGTCAGCTGCTTCTATTGCAGGATTTTTTTTTATTTTTTTTTTTGAGAGAGTATAAGCATAATAAACATTTATGGAAAATTGACTTAGATAAAGGAAGCTTTAGGGATCGATCCAGCCTTGCTTTGAGAATAGCTTTCCCCTCTGCAGAAGAAATTTGTCTGGTGGCACTGGAAAACACTTTGTAGGTATGGTTTAGTATTTCATAGTGAGAATATGTCTGATTTTCTTGTCATTCCAACTAGATATGACAATTGTAATACAACCCAAGTCTTATTATGTCCTTCCACTGCTCCTACGTAGCTTGTTTATTACTTACCTTCTTGCAGAATGTCTATTATTTGTCATTTTTTTGTTCATTTTTTTTTTAAATACCCTTTTTGGTCTTAGCACTCATTAATTCTGTCAAATCTTAATAGAGACGTGCAGTATATTTCTGCTCTCACTGTTCATTTTACATTTATGCAGGGTACTTCCGAAGATGAAGATGATGACTTCTTGAAAGGAGAAACTCCTCAAAATGATGGTGTGGTTGAAATTGCTCCAAATTCTTATGAGTCAAATACCCGGAGCCCAGTGAGCAGCATTGGCTCTCCTCCAGACTGTTACGTGCAATATCCACAGTGACCTGGATAACCAACCAGAAGTGAAAAGGTTGAAAATTGTGTGCAATTTTTTTCTCGTAAACAGACTCGAGCTCAACTTTCCAAACTGGCAAATGTTTAAGTAACTACATTTAAGAAAAAATGTTATTTCTTCATCATCAGATTTCTACAGATGTGTTATGATAAATTCATATATTGTTAGAAAAGCCTAGAGAATAAATAGGGTGATATTTTACAAATTTCACGTTGAAATGTTTTTTATGACTTACCAAGGGTTTTTTATAGGTTTTCTTGACTTTTTAAAAACGTTCGTTTACTAATGTTTCTCTATGAGGTTTTATATATCAGGGGTGAAATTCTGGTCTTTATTCCTATTGATTTCTGTGGGACCAGAAGTACACTGTCGGTATTTGAACTCTGATGACCTTTTTTTTTTTTTAGTTGGTTTCAATTAATGGTATGGTCCTGTGATAGGAAAGCTATGAACTGACTCTTAACAGTGATTCTTTTGCACACATCTCTAAGCTTTTCCTATCTGTAGAACAGTGTTTTGTAAAGCCCCTTGATAGTGGTACATGTGTTCAGATGGTAAGCATTATTGCTGCTTAAAAACGTAGCTGACACACGTTTTTTTCAGCTGTTCAGGCATGTAGAATGGTCAGGCATGTAGAGTGGTGATTATTGGAAGTGTTGAAAATGAGAGTAGCTGAATGTATGATTTGTAGATAGTTTCCTTTGAGGTGCTTGAGAAGAAAAAAAAAAACAAACACGATCACCCATATCCCTAATAGAAAGGAATTGTGTCAGTGGTGTCATTGTATTGTCTGTGTGTCAGTGAACAATTTCTCTGTACAGATTTCTTACGTTTTCCATGATTGCTGACTTCTAGATGTGAGAATATAAACAGAAAAAAAATGTTATTTGTGTAACATTTAGTTGAAAATTTCATGCCCATTGGACTAAATTCTTTATAGCTTCTGTAGTTCTTGATGAACTTCATTCATCAACCCTTCTTTAGAGTCTGAACTTGCAGGCTTTCTAGGCAATGTATTTATTTAGAGACAATAAAGACTGATGTAAACGGTGCCAATTCCACACCTTTGAAAACATCTCTTTATGTAACTAGAGATCTCTGTGCACTCTAGCTTCTCAAAAGTTGGGATGTTTGTTCTGACAGACTGAAAATGAGTTTCAGGGATGATACTGTAAAATTTGTTGGTGGGTTCTGTTCATCATTGGATAAGTTGGGGCTTAGCTTTTGTTTTTAATTTTAGCCTTCTTTACTGTCTTTCCTGAGCAATAAACAATTTCCATCTGAAATAATTGTATCTCTCCTGGCATAGAAGAACCCTTCTCACAGCATAAACAAGGAAAATGTCCTCTGAATTCTGCCTTTTTCTATTCACTTTTATGTCTTCAGTAATCATACGATGGCTTGGGTTGGAATGGACCTTAAAGCTCATCTAACTCCAATGTAGACAGTCAATTAGGAAATGAGGCTGTGTAAAACTTCGCAAGCTGTGGTATCAGGTATGTGATATGAGTTTCTATGTCGCATTTAAGAGCTAAAACAGAATAAGGAAAGACATCCGTGACATGAAATGTCTGCACATTTGTAACGTTACATTGAACTGCCTACTCAAGTTGCATAGTCAACTTCAGTATACTAAAGGGACTTGTTTAAAACATGAATTGAGTTAGATCGTAGAAACACCAGGGAGTTCTTACGACATTTTTGGCTTGTTTCATGTAACTGCAGCCAGGAGTGCTGGTGGGTGCTGGTGTTTTGCTGAAGATTTCTGTAGCTGCTAATAATACTGAGAGGGTTGCTGGTTCGGAGATGTAAATTTTGCTTTACTGGGTTAGGTCTCCTGTGAAATACAGTGCATCATCTGAAGAAAGTATTTGCTGTAAGTGTTTACTTTGTGAAAATGGGTTTTGAAAGGTAGAGCTAGAGCATACTGTTGGTTTGTTTGTGGCGGCCGCAATTAGGTGGCCGCAAGACCGGCGTCCCGTGAGGCACCGAGCCCGGGGTTCCGTGAGGCACCGAGCCCGGGCAGTGGCATGGCGGGGGGGCCGTGCCCGCCTCGGGCCTGTCAGCGCTGCGAGGGACGGGCCCTGGCGGCCTCCCCGCGGCACGGCCGGGCTCCGGCCTCCCGGCAGCTCCGGCGGGCGGCGCCGCTCCGCCTCCCTTCGCTTCTCCTCCCTTCCCTTCCCCTCCCCTCCCCGGGGCCGCCGCCGTTTCCCAGCGCCCTGCGCGGCCCGGCCCTCGGCTGGAAGCGCGGAGCCGCCCCGGGCCCGGGCGCTGCCCGCGATGCCGCTGCTGGTCAACGGGGAGCGGATCGACCCGGGCCGGCCCCCGGCGGCCATGATCCGCGCCTACCCGCACCTCGAGGTGAGGGGCGGCAGCGCCGGGACCCCGGGGCCGGGAGGAGCCGGTGGGGGGGAACACCCGGGGCTGAGCTCGGCCCTGAGGGGGCGCCCGCTGAGGGGACCCAGCGCTGAGGGAGCCGCGGGCTGGGGCGGTGCCGGGGCGGCCAAAAGCCAGGGGTTGGCCCAAAATTAACTAAAATCCGCGTCCCCCGGGGGTGGCCGGGCGGTGAATGTCCTGAGGAGACGGAGAGGTAGGGGTCGGGGCGGCGGGCTGGGCCGAAAAGCTGGAGGAAAAGGTGAAGGTTGTAACTTGTGGGAGGTGTTCGCTGCCTTCCAGGGCTGTGTGGTGGTCCTGACGGCAGGCTGACAGCCAGGCGCTGCTGGTCAGAGCTGTTGGGAACGTGGTTTTCGTCAGAAAATACTTCTTTGTAGAAATTATGTTTTTGAAGGGAAAAAAAAATCTGTGCGAATTTGATAAAAACTGTGTGAAGTGTTTTCTTTAGCCCCAGGATAGAAATTCCCTGCCTACCCAGCAGTTCTGTGACAGCACTGTGGCAGTCAGAGCCCAGGAATCTGGGTTTTCTGTCTACTGAATGTGCAAATAAATAGCAGTGTTTTGATAAGTATTAAATAAATTGTTGGATTGTGGCAGTAGGAGAGTGAAACTTACATTTCAGAAGTTTCAGAGAAGGAGCAGACTTGTTTCCTGTCCTCTTTAAACTTTGTCCTCTTTAAAGATCAGCTCTTCAAGATCATCTAGTGTGAGCTTAGCCACACCCTGCTGCTTTTTCTTGTGCCTCTGTTTTATCACCTATAAAGCAGGCCCAGAGGGTTCTGTGTGTGTGGGGCGTGATGGAATTTAACAATTGACTAGGTCACTGGCAGGAAAATGAAAACTCTGAATAAATTCAGAATACTCCAAAATACGCCTTGTTTATCTCTGACCTGGATCCCTTTGCTTTTCAGAGGTGATGTTTCTGTCAAGTAATGGATACACCTGAGAATTCAGCCACTGTAGTCTCTATTATCATTTATCTTTAGGAAAAGGCAAAACTTCTGAGAAGTCGGCCTACTCAAATTGTGGAACCTAAAGGTCTTCTTTACGTCCAGCAGAGAGAATTTGCAGTGACTACCCCTAAGGATGGTATGTAGGAATGTAAACACTTCTCCTGAAGCAATGATTATGACAGCAAAGTTCTTACAGTCTTTCTCTCCTCTAAAATAGGTTCTGTTTCTATTCTTGGATCAGATGATGCAACTACCTGCCACTTAGTTGTGCTCCGACACACAGGTATCTTAAAAAGCATTCAGACCAAAACCTGCCTCTCTAAAGTAATGCATGTAGGATCAGCATAGATTTATGCTGCATTAATGAAGTAAACTGCAATTACATTATATAAACTTGAATCTCAAAATGTCACATGATGCATAAATTGAATGACTTGTTCAGAGAGTTAGGGTGTTCAGTACCTGAGGTTCTGTGTTCTGGTTGCAGAATGAGCCAATCCTAAACTTGATCTGCTGCAGTGGGCAGTGGCAGCCCCTTGGCTGCTGCGTCCCAGGCTGTGCGCAGATGCCAGAGGCAGCATTTAACTGTTTGGGTCTGAAGGGTTTGGTAATAACAGAGGTAGAATTTATGCAAAGAGCCTCGCTACGCCCTGCTACATTCCTGGAGTTTTGTCATTTGAGTTGTTGCTTGGTCCTTGGTAGTAAGATGTTTGTACCCTTTGCATCAGTTCTGCTGATTTTCTAATGGGGCATGGAAAGAGCTTATTGTCTCATTCAGCCAGCCCATCTCTTCTGCTGGAGGCTGCTGTCCTTTTGGGAAATGAGAAGGTGGGAGATGCAGTTTTTGCACTGTTATAGCAGTGTAAACTGATGCTGAATTAAGTGACAGCAGTTTAAGAGCCTCCGCTGGTGTCATTAACTGTCTTTTCACACCTTAGGTAGCGGAGCCACCTGCTTGACACACTGCGATGGATCGGACACAGAAGCTGAGGTGTCGCTCATCATGAGTTCAGTAAAATCTTTCTCTAACTCTGCAGACTATGGAAGGTCAGCTCAGCTTTTTTAATTCTTTTTGTTTTTGCAAAAGTAACTGCAGTTTGTAAATTGGGGAATTTTCATGTGATTTTGTGGGGTTCAGACAAGGTAATTGCGCAGGAAATGCCTCTTGATCAGGGCCATGTGGAAAATGAAAACCATTTTCTTGCTGATGATTTCAAGGTATTTTCTATCAGTGATTTAAAGCATGGTTCTATTCTGACTGGTGTCTCTGTAAAAATGCCATTGTGCGGTTTGGTATTTACTGTTTCCCAGTAACTTCTGTTTCAAATGTGCTGAATTTTCCAAATAGCTGGTTTTGGTCTTGAGAATTCCTTTTGGGATCTGGGAATCCATCTGGGATTTTTTTTTTTTTTAAATCACATTTAAAAAAAAAAGGGGGGGGGAGGGAGTTCCAAACCAGAATTTATCTAACAAGGTTTATCCTGAATTTGGAGATTTTTGCCTCTGTAGTTTGGTAAGAACAAAAGCTCAGTTAACTTAGAAGAGATGGTCTTATTAATTGGCTTGCCTGGTTTTGAAAGACTGAGCTATGGCCTTGTTAGGTGATTTATGCTCACTCTCACTTTCCTGTTGCTTCTGAGACTTTCCACCCCAAACTGATATTGTCCCCAGTTATTTTATAGTCATTTTTCTAGACATTTGGTCAGAAGGTTTGCAAACAAGACTTCTCTTTACATAGACACCTCTCAGAGAAGAACCCTGCTGTGTGGTCCAGAATAGTTCTGAAGATCACAGGAGCAAACTTCTTCACATCTAAGTTACCCTTTTCATGGGCATCGAAAGGTGGTTATAGAATTAAGCCCAAAACTTTGGTGCTGAGTGTCACAGATGCCCCGGGGTTAGTCATAATTGCACGTGTGCAATGCCTCTTGAATTTTTTTAAATTGTGATGTTTCCTGGATGATCCCTGAAATGTTCAGAACTGTTCAACTGTAATTTGCTACCCATGTGGCCATTAACAAGTGAGGCTTCTCTAATAATTGCTTTGTAGTTTGGGCTGGGGATTATTTTGTAAAGGTATTCATTTTGGGATGTCTTTTTAACTGCTGTTTCCTGTTATTCCATCTCTGTTAGGCTGGAATTGCACCTAGTTGGAGGTTTCAATGATGATAGGCAGTTATCACAAAAACTTACTAATCAGCTTCTTAGTAAGTTCACCTTTTTTTCCACTCTCATGTCCAAAATAAATAGTTTTGACTGGATTTGGGTGAAGTTTGTTTGTAACCTGAGCCCCCTGTCATCTAATAGAAAAACATCTGGACTCCTTTAGCAGGGTGCTTTCTCCACCTGAGAGCTTGGCACAGAGGAGGGTTGGATTTGCGGCTTGCTGTGGCCGATGTGTGGGATGGAGGGCAGGGACTTGGGACTTACTCCTGGTTTACACTGTAGCGTGTGGAATTGGGGCTTAGTTCAGCTGGGCTCAATTCCTGGCTCCGCTGCTGACATGCTATGGGATCTTGGGCAGGCGTTGCCACTGTCTACATCTGTACCTGCGGGGACTTCATTAATTACTATTCCTTCTGTACCTTAATGTGGGGGGTGAAATTAATTACACTTGGGAAGTGTCTCATGAAAGATGGATGTCTGTCTGTGAAATCTGTAGCCTGGAGGAGTGTCTGTGGTGCTTTACAAACAAACAGGGAACAGAAGGGACCAGCTGGGATGTTTGGAGTTCTCTGGCTCGTGCTGAGCACTTCTCAAGTGTGGAGAGGCCTCAGCCTCACTAGGACTGGGAACGGGCAGGGGCAGGGATGCACAGCAGGTTTGGAGGGAGGTGGCAAAGGGAACTGGAACTGGCAAAGGTCCTGGAATGTGCCCCTGTTACCCCCTCACGTGCTGTGATGTGATTCCTATTCTGTGTGTTATCTATCGTGCGAGAGTTGTGTACAGAATGTTTTGGTCAGTTTAAAGCCTTTTGATTTCCATGCACAAGGTTACAATTTAAAACAGTAACTTTGTATTTCCAATAGAAGTGAGAAAAAAAATTAAAATTCCCTGTGTGTGGGATGGTGAAAAGCAGAATTAAAATAAATCTAATAAAAGGCTGGGTTGGCTCACTATACATGTAACATTTTAGGAAAGTACATTTAAATATGAGTTATTAAATGTATAGTGAACTAAAGCAGAGATGATGTGATGATACCAGAGCTACTTTAAGCCAGTAACAAGAGCAAGTGGCATATTTTTAGCATGTTTTTGCCATTAAAAATGGCTAATTTCTGTCAATTACGTTTAGTAGCTGTGGCTTTAATTTTGTAAAACTTGGTTTGAAGCAAATCTGAAAACTACTCTTTGCTCTGTTGCCTTATCCAGGAACAGTGCATTAGGTACTTTCTGCCCACCCATTCCGCAGTGCGCAGCACTGATAATGCCCCCTCGTCTATATACAGCGCCTGCTTTGCCACCAGTCACTCTTATACATTGCTGCTATCGTTGTTGCTGTAGGAGCATTTGATCTCCAACCAGATGACGTTCATTTGGTGACTTTCTGCGTAACAGGTAAGAAAATGTCTACTTTTATTTTTTAAGTATGTTTAGCCACTGAAGTCAGAGTGCAGGGGTCTTTTCTCACATGGCTTTTAAAAATCTGTTCTGGAAGAACAGCACGAGTCCTCCACGTTGGTTTGTAAGGTTTGATTTTGTTGCTGTCCCATAGCCAGTGCAGGGAGGATTCTCTCCTTTACTTGCTGCTGAAATTCAACTGGTAGTAGTGCCACCTGGAATCGTTACCAGGTCATTTCCCCACCTTTGTCCTGTGGAAGGAGACTGTACAGCTGTGAATATCTTGAGAGGCAACTGAGAAGGAACTTACCCATGTTTGGTGTTGTTAGAGCCTTTACAAACTCATTCAGTTAGGTCACACTGTGTGATGTTGCAGAAAGGCAGAAATAATTTCCTCTCCTTTGTATTGTATTCAGGTCGTATTTCCACTGTCTTTGCAGTTGAATATCCCTGGTGACTTGTGTCATTGAACTTAGCAACATGGTAGTTTTGTTTCTTTGTTTTCTGTAAACTGCCCAAAGAGAAAGTGGCATGACAGCTGACCGGAGCTGGCCATGCTGTTAAGAGATGGAGTTCTACTCCAGGCCCCAGGCATATTGATCTTGACCTTGACCTTCCCATATTTCTTTTTGGCTTCCTGGTTGTGTGTGTTGGTTTTTTGTTTGTTTGTTTGTTTTCCTGTCTTTTTTTTTTTTTTGCAACATCAGATCTGCTCTTCTCTGGTAACACATAACTAAGTGAATGCTGCTCAGAGAAAAAACAAAGCTCTACATGTTTGACCTTTTTTCTTACAGAACTAAATGACAGAGAAGAGAAAGATATTCACTTCCCAATCATTTATGGAATAGGTGAGTTAAATTAGAATTTGGTTATTTTTTTTAACTGGTTACTTGTTCAGTTTCTGATAGTTAATGGGCTGCCTTTAATGACTAGGTAAGCCTGTCCTGTGAATTGCTGCTGTTGGAGGTGTAGGCAGAAAGAGAAGTTTTCTTGTTAGAACAAGTAGAAAAGTGCTACCATAGAGCTGATGGGTCTGGGGTACTGAGAAATACAAGAATTGCAGTTGACACGTTCTAAAATTCCTGCTACGTAGTAGTGTTGTGGATGTGGCCATTTCAAACCAGTGTTTTGTGAGAATTAATTGTCTGTGTTTAAACTGTTTCCTACCAGCTGTGAACGTTAAAACAGCAGAGATTTTCCCTGCAACCTTCCCAGAAAAAGGGCCCGATGAGGATTTGCGTTCAGCCCATATTTTAACAGGAGCAAGAGTGAGTAAAAACCAGAGGAGAAAAAAGCTCCAACCTGGATATTTTTGCTGGAAGGGAAGACCACTGAGGGGCAATGAACTGGCAGTAGTTCAAGGGGGAAAAATACAGCAGTAGTGTTTGGGCAGTAGCAAAACATACGGGAAATATGGAAGAGTGGAGGCAAAGGATAGCAGTGGACATCAAACTCTTCTGAACTTTCTGCTGCAACGTTACCCTTGTCTTGGAAGTAGAGCACTTCCATGTGCTGTTACGCCTGTAGCCCTACAGGTTTTGGCAGCATAATTTATGTAAAATGAGATTCAGGTCATGGCCATAAATAATCCCAGCAGTATTGTTCAGTTCTGGGCTTGTTCTTACAGTTTAGGGTTGTCTTTGGCAGAACAATTGGTTAATCGTAATGGAATGGGCATGAAGGTGGCACCCATGTATCTTAATGCAAAAGCTGCTGCTTAATGCCTTCCACATTGTCTGGAATTAACTTATTATTATTAATTAATTGTCTGCATTAATTGTTTCTTTCATCTGTTTAAGCACTTTTAAGGCTTCCTGTAAGTTGTTGTGTGTCCTTACAGCTGACCAACATTTATGATGCCAAGAAGGAACAGCTCCACATTGGGCCTTATTTCTGGAGGCCTTTCCCACACGTAGATTTCTGGTTGGAACAAGATGATCAACAGATCTTAGAGGTACCTGGCAGTGGGACACTGGCTTTTATTTTTCCTTCTCCCTCCTAGCTGAGCACAGCGATGGGTATGGGCTGTCAAAGCTTCCCTCAGTGTACTGCTGGGGAGGGTGGAAAATACTCCTATTAAAAGGCAGAGTAATTGGCAACTTTCTATTCTGAATCTCAGGCAGCTTTTGCTCTCATCTTGTTTTTCAGAATCTTTCCACGTCACCCTTGGCTGAGCCACCCCACTTTGTTTCCCACATTAGATCTACATTAACATTTTTAAAAGAACATCCCTTTCCATCGCGCTCCCTGTTTCCTGATAGGAAACCTCGCATCTACAGAAAAAATCAAGACGGGTTATGGGAACAGGTTTGTTCTGACAAGATCTAACCGAGGGATGCATAGCCTTGCCCAAGGAAGAGTAAGTTGGTGCAAAAATGCCTATTGCTGGTTATAGGCACTGCTGTTCTTGTGCTTTCCAAAATAAATATTTTGACAGAAGTAACTTGTTTTGCATTACTTAAGTAATATTATTAAGTAATTAAGTATTATTATTTCTTTCTGGTTTATTGCTTTAACAGAGTAATTTGATCAGTACAGATAGACAGAGGTAGCAGTGCTGAGGCAGTGGGTAAAAGCCATTATTGCATGAATTTGTACTTTAGAAAATGATTTTCTCCTAAAAAAAAAAAAAAAGTGAAAGAAAATTGCCTACACTTAAGCTTGAGCTGACTTTAAGCGATATTTTTGAAGGAAGTTCCCATAAGTCGAGGCTAATAATTTGAAGAATCTTTATTGAAACATTCAGATAGTATCTAAAGAATGAAGCTCATTCCAACAAAACTGATTTAACAATTCCAAATATAAAAACATTAAAAATTAATCATTGTGGTGATACCTTGATCCCCAACAAATTACTCTTATTAACATACTTCATTGCACCAAAGAAACCAATAAGGAAGACTAGTCAACTTAATTGTTTTTGCACTTTAGAAAAATTGCACTCTGATTTACATAAATTACCTCAGCAGTGAAATTAACCTTGTTGTGGCATCCCAGCCCCACTGGATCTAAAGGGTGAAAGTCAAATCAGGTGACAGTTCAATTAAAAAAAATATTATAATTTTTCAGATTATCCAAGTTAATTATGCTACCACTACAGCCATTGTGTTAGTGTTAATTAACATCTTTTGGAAAAACAAAGCAAACTACAGTACTGGTATCCAGCTCTGTAGGGATGGGATGGGATTCCCTTGGGGAAAGCAACCTTCTCTAAAGATCTTTCCACAAGGGGCTGAAAATTTGCAGCAAAGTAACTACAATATTTTTTGGGGACAAACACTTCTATACCCTAGCTTTAGATGTATCCAAAGCATAACTTGTGCATTAAATAGTTCTGGGCACTAGGAATTTGTGCTGTAGTGTAAATAAACTATGTAATTTCACTGAATCTGTACAATTTCTACTATAGGCAAGTTACTGTTATTCAAAAGTAAGTGTTGAAACCAGCACAATTTTTTTTCAAGCTTTACTATAACTAGCTTTAAAAATACACAACAGAAAAGAATTCCAGTTACACTACATAGATGTATTCAATAACTGGCGTGCAAAGGAAAATAACAAGGGATTGGTCATCCTTTTCAGTGGTAGAAGCAAGAAGCCATTTAGGCATGCAGACACAATTCCTTTTTCAAAGTCCTGCTGTACTCAGGGTCAAGTCATACAACAGCGGGGAAAAACGGCTGATGGCAAAGTTCAGGAACTCCTAGACACATGGGCATCCATCCCTAACACTCATTGCACAACCGCTTGGCAATGCTCTTTGTAAGGGTTAAAAAAAGGCAAAATAGAGCTAGTGTGACTAGGATGGTTCGCAGGAGAGGCTAAACTGAAATTTAAATATAAAAAAGGTGAAAAATTGGCAGTTTCTTAAATATATTCACATAAAATAAAGTCAATTTACAATTATTCGGTGCAACTGTAGTCTTAATCTTGTGCATGGCTGACCAGTTAGCAACTACTATCATGCTTAAAATCTTACAGAAACTTTAACTGCCAATTTTTATTTTTTACAAATATTTACGAGCAGTTAATAAATCTCACTACTACTTTGGTGACACTGACATGTACAGGATTAAAGCAACTGTAATAAGTGTACAGTAAGACAAATCTCTGTCCCATGGGAGGAATTTATATTTGTGCAAAATCCCAGTTAATAAGATACAGTAGTTATTACTGTACTAGTGTGTGGCACTGTTCACATTTTAAATGCATCACCAATGCCCTGCTTCCCAGGGCATGTGATTCATCTGCAAAGTCTGAAATCCACAGTACAGATTTTATCTTTGACTTTCTTGTTCCTCTACCTTTGTGCAGTCCCTTGGAATGTCCTCAGTGCCTTTAGGTGGTGTCTGTGTCCCCTCCTGCTGCTGCTGCTCTGGATTTTCTGTCTCTGGCGACCTCTGCTCTTGGCCAGGGGATAGAGCCGGGGGTCTCTGATCCGTCTTCTCCAGGTCCTCACAGTGGCTGACTGAACTGGTCTCACTAAAGGCATCGGAATTTCTTAGAGACCTTTTAAAAATTTTTTGACCTGCAAAGTGTCGGGAGAATACAGTACCAATGAAGGCATCAAATGCGAGATGTGGTATGTGCAAGGTATGCGCAAAGGAAGTATCTTAATTTGACAACTGCGAAGAAATAGCTTTTATTTGGGTGCTAACCTGCATCCTAACCATATAAATTCCTTGCTTCCAGTTACAGGTGCATTTACTCAGATGTGTGCTGAGGCCAGGATACTTCAGCAAGTTTTAGAAATAAAACTAGTGAGTAGAAACTTACCAGGAAGTCTTTGCTTTGTAAGGCTGGAAGTAGGAGTTGGTGGTGGAGTAGTACCTGTTCCTTGGGCTTTTGATACATACGTAGATTCTGTGGATTCTAGAGAACCTGCAGGTTAAAAAAAAAGGGCAAGTAGAAGTTGAATATAGACAACTTTTCTTTTAATCTGTATTTATAACAAATGCAACAGTCTATCTGTAATACGTGTTTCTGAAACCATATGGCCTAGGCTGACCTGAAACAGCCACTGAAGTGTAGTTGGTTTTTGAGCACCTGGGGACAGGCGTGCTGAGTCTTACGAAGATGAATGAAGTTTCCCCTCACTCCTGCTTCCCAACACTGCTACCTCCAGTATTCCACTTGTCCTTTTCCACTGAGCTTGACACATCCCGAGGTGCAAGCTATTGAGCACTGCACTGTGGAAGGATGTCTAGCTGTCAATGGAACAACATTCCCAAGGACACCTTGTAGTTCCTTGCTGTACAACCCTTCTCGTCAGAGCAGAAAGCCTTCCTGGCTAATTACAGAGACATACACAGCTGGGCCATTTTTCTAGGTCCAACTGACACTTTGCTGAGTTCAGAAATACTCTTAAGACTGCTGCAGTTTTTAAATGAAAGTTTATAATTTGAGAGTATTATGCTAGTACATCACCAAGAATGATGCACCTGCTATAGATAGTTCTTTTTACATCACCAGTCATGAATTACAGATAGATGAGTAAAATAATAGCCCTATATTCTGTAATATTCCATTCATTACTGTCTCCTGCAATGCTGTGTTCATGCTTGTCCTCAGCTAGTTTTAGCCTGTCCCTTTTCTCAGATATTACACCACTGCCTGGAAACTAGTACTTCATCACTGCGCCATAGCTACGTGACATCTGAAACCAGGATTTCAGACAGAAATCAAGGTCAGGTATCACAACAGAAGGAATACCCATGCATATACATGGGAGCAATAGTAGAAGACCCCACTACCTTACGTATTTTGACATTCAGAATAAACTCCAAGGCTATAAACTTCTGCAGAGCATGTGGCCAACAATTATTCCTGCATTAACAAATGCCAGTGTCTAATACAGCTTTTTTAGAATGACTCAGCATGCAAGAACCAAACTAAACAAGAAGGAAGGAGATTTTCTTACTGAGCATTACAGAAGTAAAGAGCATGTTCCTTTACATCTCGAGGGTGGATTATGTCATTCACAATCAAATCATCACAAGAAAGTGCGTTGCAATTTCAGTATAAAACTGGAAACATCTAGAACACAGCTTAACATGGCTGCATATGCACTGAGTCCTACCTGCTGTTAAATTGAATGTTCTTCCCTTTGGTGAAGCTTGGAATGGAGAAAACCAGTTCAGCACAGAGCCTACTACAGGTATTTGTCGTAGCAGCCCCTGTGAAGGACACAAGCAAACACTGGCTGGTGAGCACGCTACCTGTGTTGTGACAAGTTATTACAAGTTACCTAGATAGCTATTTTTTAGTCTTACCTCTTCCAGAAGTCGTTCTTCATTTGCTTTCTGAAGCTGAAGTTGTGCTTCCTGTATCCCTTTTCTAACAACTTCAGTCATGTTTTCCAACAGCTAATAAAAAGAGAAATTATTACATACAGTAGTTAGTAGGATTTACTATGCTATATATTATATTGTATTTACTATATTACTGTATGTAATAATACAGTAATTTATTGAAATTGTATTTTTTAATTCAGGCTTTGAGAATGTAAATCGAGTAGTCAGATATCTTTTTCTAATTTAAATTTGCATTTGACAAGCCCTATTTCATTGCTACTGTAAATTAAAGAATGTATAGGACTTAAAATATATATATGCCCAGAGGGCAGAACATCATTTTAAGCAAGAATGGTACATTACTTCTCTTTTACTTGGAGATCAGCTGATACCCAAATTCATCAAACGTCTGCTTAGCACAGAAGTGTTCCTCAGAAGCTAAATCTGACAGAGAATTTTTAAGCTTATGAAGTGTGGTTTGGTTTCCAGAAGTGCCCAGAACTAAGACTCACAGCAAGCCTAAGCAGGTATGTGGCAGCCAAGATAAGGCTCAACTACGGCTTGCAAACTGGTATGACTGTCACTATGACTCTTGTGGCAATCTATGCCAGTGTCAGTGATGTGTTGTATTGCAAAGCACAAGCAGCTTTCTGGGAGGATAAAAATCAAAATACCAAAAAACAAAGCCACAGTTTTGTTGTGTGCAAGAAAAATGCCGATTGGCACAATTTAATAGGCTTTAACATTTTGCAAGCCTTTGGTGACAGCTACTTCCTCCAGAAGGCTATCGACTTAGGTTACTGTCAGTTAATAAAAAACAAAGGGAAAAGTGGAATCTGCTCCTTTTCTTTGGGGGAAATGCAAGGCAGAAATTGGTCACCACAGCAAGCTAAATAATCCACTGTACTAGCTACACGGAAGAGATGAACTGACTACAGAAGGGGCTTGAACATCAATTTTGAATCAAATGTTTTAAGATTCTTTCAGTTCCATGTTTTTTTTCTAGTTGGTTCCCAGGACTGCATCTTTCAGAGTCCTCCACTGCTCTGTTCTCCCCAAGAAGCTTCAGGATAAGAGTAATACATTTTCCAAAATTCAGTTCCTAATCTCTCAGCTGCAAAAGAAGAAAAAAAGAAGGAACTCTACAGCCAGTCGATCTTCTATAACCTCACCTTCAAAACAGCACAGCATGTCAAGAATGTGTAAAGAGGCTCCAGAAAACACTGCCAGAAAAAATTAATTGCCAAAACCAACATTCCCAGGGGCAGAAATAGGCCTGTGGGATGTCTTAAGTTTTTTTTTTTTTTTTGACAAAGTTAAATGCCCAGTGCTTTAGGAGTGAAAGGACAGACATTCATTTGTGATGAAGGTCATTTGGGAATTCTGCTATGCCTGATCCTAACAGCAAGGGAGAACTCAAATCATGTAAATGCTTTTACAAAAAAGACTTACATTAGCATTAGTAATTTAATAGATAATTTGTAACTTTAGTTATTATGCCACTGATTTAAAAGTTTTCCACACGTATTAGGGCAGTTATCTGAGACTTTTTATACCAGCTTACATCTCCCTACATTGAGCTCCTCAAAGCAACCAGCTCACCATAAGCTCCCTCTTTTTTTTTTTTTTCTGACAGCTTAAATTTTAGTGATAAAATGAGCCTATTTCAATACTACTGTTTTTTTATAGAACCAAAGACAGGACTGTGAACATAAATAAAGACATCCTCAGAATATTATAATCCTGTAATATGAGTATGGATTATGCGGACAACTTCTATAGTAATTAATACAGTTTGTTGCAGGCAAGTACGAAGTATTTTCACAAAGAACAAAACTGTCCTGAAGTTAATATGGAAAAATGAGAGATGCTGAAATGCCCTTTGATTCATTAACACATACTCTTGAATTTTCTTCAATTTCTCTGCCTGTTGCTGCAATAGTTTCAACTAACTCCGACACATCAAGATCCTCAGTTACCATGCCAATATAAACACAGTTCTTCTGTCCTCCAAATTCTGGGCCTGTGAACATAGGGAGAATCGAGTGTTTGTGATACATAAAAACGTATTCTCAGAATACATACCATGCCCTTGCTTATTAATCTGGAAATCCTAATACACACACATATAAAGACAAACACACACACTTCAGTAATTAAGTACAATATCTGCATAGGTATAAATTATGCAGACTACAAAACATCTAAACAAGATGAACAGTGGATATTTCATACAGCCAAGGGATCATATAATAAATAGTAGTGTTGAATATGCTTCAGACTTGTTACTTTTTTCCATCTACCAACTGCTTGGTTCCACAATTCCAGGGTACTTAGTTTTTAAAGGCGGACTTAGAGTGTCAAGTAAATGAATTAGTATTATTACATCTGTAATGTAGCACTGTATATGCTCAAAAGTGCTGCTAATTACCACAAGTCGTTTGAAACTTTAATCTAGCCAGAGAAAGCAGTGAATTGGTCGACAGTTTGTTGTTTTTTTTTTTTTAAATGAGACCTGCTTTTCACTAGATACCAAACTTCCCGAGAAGGCTCAGTTTACAAAGGGGAACACTTGCGGCTTTCATTCCCTCTGACAAGGAAACCCTTTCAGGTCTGGGTGCTCATAGGTCAGTTTTCACAAGTATTTCTGCAAACAGTGCAAGCAGCTCACCCTGCTGAACATTTACCAACTCAAATAAGTGATGAGGAGGACAGAGTTACAGATGTTGTTTCTAAAGGAACTACATACACAACAGTGTAATTTTCCATTATAATGACCTATGTATGACTGACCTCTTGAAAGGTTATAGCACAACAGTGAAGTGACTGTCAGCTTGAATGGAAGTTTTTTTTTTTTTTTTTAATAATGCAGTTACCCAAAGAGAAAGTGAGATCCGACTCCAGTTCATTTAATTTTTTCAGAAGTTCTGTGTTAATTTTTTCTAATTCTTTTTCTTGCTTGTCATCATTCTTCCCATCACTGTGATAGCTGTACCTTCAAACCAAACCAGAAGAGTCAGTTCACTTTACAGTACATTTAAAAACAAAACAAAACACAGATCTGCACATCTAGCATGCTTCTACAAATTCCTATATTTTACAAACCAAAAGCTTAAAGTGACATTCTAAATCAACCAGTTTAATGACATTTGTAATCAGCTTTTTGGTTGAACATGAGGTGAAGACTGGCCAATGCAAACTTAACTGAACACAACAGATTTCTAGGTAATACACTGATCATACTTCAACTGCTTTGATTGTACAGAATCCTACCCAGCAGACTGTGTCAGATGATCAGAATACACATCTAAAGGGTTTTATTCAGTATATAAGTGAATCTCATACTAGACAAAAATGTATGCTATGCTTAGTTAAATAAAGCAACACTGCATATTACATTTCTGTTTAACAGATCAACATACTGCCTCCAATATTAGACCACTGCTCTAATTTTGCAGAAACAGCAATTCAGCTTTTCTAAATAATAAAAAAATTAAGTTGTTTTATTTAAAATAAAACCACTTCACAATGTCAAGTGAGGGCAAAGACTGAGACTAATCTTCAAGCAACGCATCCAAATTGCCAATAAAGAGACTGTATTCATTTGTGCTACTGCACTGTCTATCCAAACATAAAGAAGAAAATACTGAAAAATGTACCTTACAACACCTAATCCTGGCCAGCTGAGATCTTCAATATACAAGAGGCCTACCGTTCTTCTCACTTCTTGCTCAAACTCCTCTCTCAGTTGCAGTGTACTTGTCAATACTGGTATCTTCATCTTTAAGCAGTCTACCAACTGATCAACATCTTGTATTTCTGTCCCTAAAACTGAAGAGCTGATGTATTAGCATACAAAGGAAGTGAATGGACATACACATAGATATCTGAAATAAACAAGTAATCTGTAAAGAAACCACCTTGCAAGTTAACTGTAAATATAATTCAAGATAGCATCAGTGTATCTTGATCTATATACCAGCCGTTTTCTTCATTTGCAGTGAAAAATGGTGGGTTTATAAACTGACAAGGACAATACCCTTTTCATTGCATCAGTAGCTAGCATCAGAACTCTCTTCCCATAGCTAAAAAGACAATGAATTTACTTCTACACCTTTTAAAAAAATCACAGCATCACCAACTAATTTTATTCTGAAGTGCACCTTCCCATATACACTAGGATCCTCTCACATCAGCATCACATGTTTTGCTAGCCTAAACCACTCAACCCACGCAAACTAAAAGGAGCCACCATTCATCGCCTGAGCCTCTGAAAGTTGTTCTATGCATCTGCTGGGTCTAAACAAAGTATGCATATGGTGCTAGCTTAAACATCAAATTTACAAGGTTTTCCAAAATACAGATTTTTTTTCCTCCTACACCAGTAATTACAGAAAAACCTTGGGTTTAGTAAATAATTCTTCTGGTTAATTAATTGTAGTTTGAACATAAGCAGCGTTTCAGTGTTGAAACACCTGTGTAGAAAGGTCAAGCATCTTCTCCTTGTGTTAAGCATCTGAGAGAAGGAAAGAGGGGGATGACTTATCCTTCATACTTCTTTTATAACTCTCAGAAGCCAAGAGCTTCTCCTGTTGCTAATGAATTTTAAAAAATAATCAATAAACATCTATCTCTGCAGATTTAACGAGGTAATGTCACATACAGTAACTGAGCTACCTCTAATGCACCTGCTACCAAGGCACAAAGGAAAGATAAAGTCAATATAGATTTATTGGGGAAAAAAACCCTCACCATAGTAAAGACTTTCTTGAGTATATCTGCTTTTACACCAGGAGATTGATGTACACTTTTATGGCAAATTTCAGTTTTTACAAGTGATTGAGTAAAGTGAATGTTACCTGCAGAAGTCATTAAGGGGCTGAAACGCACACACGTGCCTTCATCTTCCAGTTCTACCACATCAACCCCACTGGCAGGAACCAGCTGCGCCAACTGTTCTCCTAACTGAAGAGACAATGCCCAGTTAAAGAAATTCAAACTCGGTCTTGCAGCCACTGGCTCAGGTCAAACTCCTCCCACAGCTAAGGAGAAGCACTTGCTCAGCACAGTTCCCTGTATTTCTCAAAATCGCCTCTGGTAACAAAGTACTTTAGCTTGATGGTGATAGGACAAAAGCTGGACACATAGTTAAATAATGAAAATTCAGAATAAGCTGCAAGTATTTTAATCTGGAGTTTCTATAAAATTGTTGTTAAGTATGCTATGATTACTATTCAATTAATACAAAAGAGTGATGTGCTCAGCTCTCTGTGAGCACAAGTTTCCAGAATTCTGTTAAGAGCTGGAAAAGAAAGTCTGTCTTCTTGTGATTAAACAAGCATCATCAACGAAGTATTCAGCCAATTAAAAAGAGTTCTGAAAGTTTTTGCATATTGCCACAAGCCCAAGGGAAAAAAAACACAGAACTACCAAAAGTTTAAGATGAATTAATATGTTAGTAACAATTACAAGCAAAACAATCAGGAGTGAGAAATCAACTGTGCTTCAAGTTCATCATTGTAATCCCAAATGCCCAGCAGATTTTGCAACGGATACCAGATCAGGAGTAATTACCAAGCTTGTCTACTAAAACTTTTATAGTTACCAAGGAACCCCTGGAAGCACTCAACCCTCATTTCCTTTTCTCCTAAAGAGGAAAACATCCATTCTTACCCACTGATTGAAAGTGTCATAAATGTGTCCTTCATTGCTTATTATGGGGTGCGGAATAGTTGAAGCCTGTGCAGCACTTGGGGTTTGATCTGAATTCAAAAATACAAGAATCACAGAGAGAGATTTGTATTTACGTAATTAAACAAACGGCAACCTAATTTCATATAAAAGATAAGTACATTTCTTAGGTAATGTGACACATCTACACTATGTCAAGCAGACTAACAAGGAATTTTTTAAGGTATGTTGAACAAGAAAAATATTAGGAGTCAAAGAGTTGAATGTACTAGCTTTAAAAACAATCCATAAAATATTTCTCACATTGCTGAGGTTCAAGTCCCCCCTAAATAAAAACAGGGCTTTTGCAAATCAGGATCCTGTCACAACAGGCTGCAGTATTTACTTTGATGCATTTGGCTACATTTTTAAATTGAGATTGAATGATTACTTTTTACTGCACACAAATAATAGTAAGGACTTAAAAGCCCACTCTATGCACAGATTATGCAGAAGTGGGCCAAAGATTTTATATCCTTAGAATTCAGGTGGGTGAATTCTCCCTAGTAAAGCTGTTCAGACAAATGCATCAATGGATAAAGCTATCCAGTAAGTCATTTCACTGGACCACAATGAAGAGGTTTACTTCATAAATGTGACCACTAATTAGATTAAGAACCTTCCTCCATGCCGAACAACAAAAAAAAATCCACAGAAAATTAAAATCAACATTCATAGTAAAACTTCAAAATTTTCTATCAATAATTTGCTTCACCCAGGTGGACATGGTCCCCACATTCAGAATGTGCGCATTTGAGCAGCATAAAGAAAGTCCTCTGCTGTAATCAAAAGGACAAAATTCCTCTTCCTGTGAAAGGACATCCAAGTAGGGATGTTCTGCCCTGAGCCATGTTTGGTGTGGCTACCATACCTATTGACACGATTTACAGAGCTGGTCATCACATGTTCTGCTATTTCCAAAACTATTGCAACAGAAAATGGCAATAAAGCAGAGAAACATGGTTCTGACAACTAGCCACTAAATGTTTGAAAGAAACAAAGTCTGAACAAAAGCAATGGAAGATTTTCCCTCAACAGTACCCTCAAATGCAGTTTGCAGCTTATGGGGGATTATCATCATCTGCTCTCTTGATCAAAATCATATGCAAATTTCCTCCAGTCAAGACAGGAGAAATGACTTGCTGTGCACATTTAAAACGCTGCAGTCTATCTAAAAAAAGCTATCACGTGTATGAATTCTATCACTACATTACGACCAGTGTTCACAACCTTTTCAAAGGCATGTTACACAAGAGAAGTGTACCACATATAATGTACCTAATAATAATTTACTTAAATCAAATTAATTTTAGAATTTGCAGGTGTTGTTTGTTTGTTTTTTAAATGAAGATACAGACAATTGGTTTGTTGTGGTTTGTTTGTTTGTTTTTAAATAAGTCACATACCTTTATTTAAATACTTCTGGTAGAACTTGAAAACCACCACTGGTGAACTCAGTTCATCTTCAACCTTAACAAGAAGTGAAATAATTTTATAAACATATTTTCATACTTTTTAAAGATTTAACACTATACAAAATTTTTTAGACTGCTGAGTAAAGCAGATCATTTCATTTTGATGGCAGTAACAATGTTCACACTATCTCAGATGTTAACTCTGTAGGAGTCTGAGTAAGCATATCTGTAAACAGTGGAAAATAAATCATTATTCAGTTAAAGCAGAACTGTATTGATTTAAGGTATGCATAACTGAACTTTGAACACCATAAAATGAGAAACCTAAGCACATTCACTAGCAAATAGATTGTACTGACAGAAGTCAATTTAGCTTTATATATTTTCAGGCATTAATGATTAAAGAAAACATTCTTCAAGATCTGCCAAGAATCACTGGGGGATGTCAAGAAAGTTCCAGCAGAAAGATAATTGATTCTGCCTTGGGGATAGGAGAAATGGACTGGGGAATCTGAGTCCTAAGAATCCTAAAAATGCAAGGTTTATTTAGGTAGAAGGGGCAAGTGCTACAGTAATTCCAACTCCCAAAGCTACTAATACTCTTGAAAAAACAATTTAAAAAAAACCCTGTCTTTCAGAATAGCACTAAAAAAAAACAAAACAGTTGAACAGGACATTTCACTGAAATAGAACTTTAAATGAGCACATCAGGTACAATTTCTGAAACAGATTCTGGAGTAAAACCCTCAGCATGGATATCTTTGCATAGAATTTCATAGGGTTCACAGCACCATCTCAAGGGCAAGATGGAGGCAGAATGTATTTGAGAGGCTTATGGAAACTGCTATCATAAATGTATTATCCGTTTTGTAAATGTATTGCTGAACAAATGGACATTTTAAATGGGAATTAAATCAAGCTCTGGAGACAATTTCTGCAAGTTATTGTCAGCTCCAATGAGTGCAAGAGTTCATAGCAATGGAACAAGTACAATCTAGAGGCCATACACAACCAAGCCACACAATTTCACTGAACACCTGAACTTAACTAAAAAGGATACCAACATTTTTAATTACTGTGTTTTAAATATTTTTAGATAATTTCCTTTGAACAACAATTAGTTTTATCATTTAATATAGTAAAGACTAAGCTATACAACCAAAGTATTTAATACAGATCGTACCGAAGTTTTAATGAAATCCAGGTTTTTCAAGTTTTCCAGCAACCTTTGACTCTAGAAGACCACAGAAGAAAGGAAACAAGAACAGGACAAAAACAGTTTTAGAAGCTGAAACTTACTCTGATAAAATTTAAACACTCACCACCATAATCTCCATTTGTTAACAAAACCCTACGAGGTGCTGGAGATCCATTTAGTTCTTGTTTATAAATGTAATACAAAACAAATTATTTTTCCATTAATAGTAAAACACTGTGTACAGTGTTTTTCTTCAAGTCTTAAGTGTATTTGTTGACAAAGTAGCAGAGATAATACAGCTCCGTTGACTAACTAAAGCACAGTGTGTAGCAGAACAGTTAATTTTCCCAAAGCTACCATAGCAACTGGTTATGATAGCTTTTTAAATTATTTTCATTAGAGAAGACATTCTCGTGTGGTTAAAGACTATTAATAGACTATTATAAAAGCTAAGATCACTCTTCAACGCCACAAAAATCTTAATGACTAATATTATTTTGTCACTCTTTTAGGTCTTTCATGCCAATAGTTTCTTCATTAACCTTTACAGAAACTTTCCATTTCCCTTTGCTCTTCTCTGAATTTTGAGAAAGCGCTATACTTTTAATACAAATGCTTTGTATATAAACAAGGCATTTTCTAACATACATGTTATATTGGACGGTAAGTTTTACTGAAGGATCTTAATTCAAAAATAGTACACTTGCTACTGCATTTGAAGAAATGTGTTGAAATCTTTTTTGTCAAGCTTTGTAATTTACTATTGCTTGAATCAGCGTAATGCCAAGAAGAGTACAAAAATAAGTCTTTTAACAGTTTTCAAGCAAAACGGTTAATATAGAAGTGATTGAAAAAAAAAAGATTGTGGATTTTTACAGTTAGAATGAACAAAAATGAAGTATTTAACATTAAAGCTAATAAAATATACATTCTGGAAACATTGTTCCCCCTCATATTACTATTCTGCTTTCATTATTTGTTCATAACAGTATGAACTAATGCTATGTTGTCAATAACTACTATATTTCTAGCTGATTCCTCTACAACACATCATGATCAAAAAGATGTATTAACAGTTATTATAAAAACAATCCCAAGTGTAACAGTGTTCTGTGACAGCCATCTGGGTATCACTTGTACTGTGCTGCTAACTGAACTTCTTCTCTGCTTGGAGATTCAGACTGTTAATTCTGATAATGATTCTCAAGTACAGCCTCCAGCCCATACTCAGAGAAGCAACGTAGCCATAATCAAGGCTATGTTGTTCAACCAACCAACCAACCAACCAAGTGCTGCTTACTAGTTGTGAAGCATGCTTTATCCTTTCCACAATTCCATCATGGCCCAAGTACTGCAAGGAGAGCCATAGGGGCAGGGCACGAAGTTTCTCTACAGGCTGACTTGATGTTAGCCCCGCTGCTAAGGACTGAAGAGGAAAACAAACAAACAAAAATCTTCTATTAAATCTTCTATTTTTCCATTACTTCATTTTTGCCAGATTACAGAATGCACCACAGTTTAAATAGGGGGTCTTGTGCAAATTATAATTTAGATGCTTATTAAACTAGTAAGTTTAATAATAATGCTTATTAGAGAAGATTACAATCACAATTAAAGTTTCAGTGTCTCAAGAATAAAGACCGAAAAGCTGAACGTACCAAAGAAGGATCCTCATGTCTGTAGAGTGTCACTGCAGGTACAGCTGGGAGACCCAGCCAGGAACCCAGAGTAAGAGTCATGCTGTCACATTTTGTAGCAGCCTGAAGTTTATTACAATAAGCAGAACATAAACCGTATGTATTTTGATTAGATCATGACCTTAAAGCCTAAAGCACATTATAAGATTTCTACGTATAGTAAAACATACCAGTACAGAAGAGGAGACATAACCCAAAGCCAAAGTTGCCAAATTCACTCTATAAAAATAAATGATATTAGCACATATTAAGTGTGTATTAAGAGAGCATTTTAATCTTCAGTTTAATATTGCTTGTTGACATGCAAAGGGAGGTCATTTTTGTTCATGCATTTTTTTTTAAATGAACTATGCAGTAGATGTCGCTACATGGAATTCCAAGATGCTAAGACCAAAACTAAAAATCCATTTCAATCTAAAAACATGACCAACCTTTAGGGAAATCATCCCCCTGAACTCCTACCCATAATTCAGCAACAATCTAATATCAGAAATAAACAGCATGCAAATATAACACTATACAATGAAACATCAAAAGAAAGAGTCTCTACTCCAGGTTCAAAAAAAATCTAAGAGCACCAGAGTCTTCAATAACATTGTCTAAATTCTTCCAATTTATTTTCCTTTTGGTTTAATCTTCCTCCCAGTTACACTGCATTCTGCTCTTATGGCAGCCTTCTTGACAACTTTTATTGAAGTTGTCACGCTTCGTCCTCCTTTCTCATTCTCAATAATCACTGTATAATGTCTCCCCTGAATTGTCCCATGTCTCCCCTGAATTGTCCTATAAAGCCCTCTTTTCTTTGTATTCCAGCTCTTCAAAGAATGGACAGATAAGATTACATTCTGAGTAAAAGTAACCAGTATCCTATGCTGAAATAATTACTCCAATTTTTCCTGTATATGTAAAACAATCTGTCTCATACATGGAAAGAATTATAGCCATACAAATTGCTTAGTGTGTCAAAAATCAAGATTGTCCTACTGTCCTCCCCTACCTGGTTAGCTGTAAAGCTATGTGCTGTCTATTATTCAGACTTCTTAACAAATATGGTTTATACAGAAAGAAATCTCAAGTTCCATACCCTTCTACGTGGAGCCACATATTATACTGCTCACAAAGTTCCTTCAGCCGCCCGAGTTTATCTGTGTGCCCAGCACCTGGTGTACCTTTGTTGAAACGGGAAAAACAAAGCTATCACAAAGGTCCTGCAAACCAGGACTCTATGAAAGAGGACCTCTTATACTGTTGTCAAAAAAGTCACAAGCAAGAGTTGGAAGGAGGATATGTAAAGAGCCAGCTACACAATATTCATACCTGGTTCATTGTGACACATGGACAATTTGCATTCTAGATAAAATTAAAGATGCTTGTTTTGCTTGCCAATGTATGTTAAAAATACTCAGAAAATTAGATGTCCTAGGCACTCAAGGGCTCAGCAGCCTCAAAAAAAGAAATGAAAAGGTTTTTAATATTTTCAAAGTATTACTTCAGCTAAAAGAATGGAAACCAAGATTAACATCTCAGACGTATATATTTAAGTCCAAAGCAGGTAAGCCACCTCCTTTATTCAAACTTAACTTTGTTAATGAACAATTTTGTTCAATTAACTAAAAGAAAGACGCAATTTTTAGAGCTAAAGTTGATGGCACATCCATCAAACATTCTGAAGCGTTAACATGAAACTGACTTTCAATAAGAGATGTGTTCACTAAAAAAAACTTTAGTTACATTAATGCACCAATTGACACAAGCAGAACTCTAATAGTACAATCCACCTTTGAATCAATTAAATAAAAACCCTTCTAAACAGACAATTGTCTGGTCATTAAGATATGTTATGACATTTTTTGGCATGCAAACACTAAGCTGTTTAAGGAAAAATATTATTTTTTATATATATATGTATATATATATTCATGAAATAGTGCCTTTTTTATTATTTGTCCATAGCACTTACCAGCATTAGCCACAAGCAACAAAGGCAGTTTTCCAGACTCAACATCATCTTTAATCAATCTGTCCAACAAAGCAACATCCTGTTATCAATAAGAAAAAGATATGTGTTTATAAATATGTGTATCAAACAATAGAGATTTGTTTCTGTTGAACTGGAAAAGTGCATTAAGAGTGAAAGGGAACAGCATGTTAGAGTTCTGAAAGATGTTCTTAATGTCTTTGTGGCTTGCAGTTTCCTCTTCTCAAAAAGGTAAAATAAGCCAAAGGTCAAAAAAAACCTTTGTGAAAAATACAATGGAAATACATAGTGGAGTTTATAAACATACCTTCTACTACACATATTCTAGAAATCTTGGACTAAAAAGCACATTAACATTAAAAGTATTAAAAGTACCTTGCAAATAACAAGACAAGACACAAGCTACTGACATTCCAGAAAATTTCAGTCTGATTATTACAGCTATAATATGGCGGACTTAACGGCTGAAAATTTAAGTACATCAAGTAAATGTCAATAATGTTGTTAGGAAAAAGTTTATTAACGGGAACAAAAAAAGAGCTCTTAAGGAAGACAAACTTACCATTTGATGTTGAGATCCAAACATGGTGTTACAAGGCACACGGCACATGCAAGAAAGGGGCAACCCCAGCTGCAATAAAAATGATGGAATTTGAACAACTGAGACATGGTTCAGAATAGTCACTTCAAGCGTTCACAGAAACACACATATTAAGTGACACAAAAAGTAGTAAACATGTCAATAAAAAGCTGGCTAGTACATTATGAAGTAAGTTTCTTGCCAAAACTTATAATCAAATTATTAGCAGAGAAAAGAAAGCAGAGGAGAAACTCAGAAAAAAAAATAAATAGGTTTGATTAGTACATTAACTTCATACAGCATTTCTACTGAGATATCTATGCAATGTACAACAGCCTAAACGCAAGCCTTTCTTTCTTGGCCACCCTTTGAATGAATATACATGTAGCCTATAAGCAAATGTGCTTTTTGCATGGACCCTACTCCACTGGAAGTTCACAGTCACTTTACTACTGAGTAGAGAGCAATCTGTCAACTTTGAGCATACTGCTTAATTCACATCACTATGTTCACGTTCTTCCTTTGCTATAGAGGTAAATTTCAGACAGTTCTGCATAATTAGTATGGGGATTGGATGAAGGTCTCTTACCCATTTTAATCTTTAACCTGGAAGATCACTAGGCAATTGAAATCTAGTTGATCATGCTCATCACTTTGAACAGGAAGTTCATCAAATTAAGAGAACTAGTTATAGACCAGTTTGTGTTTATACTTTTATTTGACAGAAGGTGAATTAATGACTGATTGTCCAGTTACTCAGTTCCGATTTGTGCTCTACAACATACACTATTTCTCAAAATCTAATCTAAAACATCATCACTTAAATTCATTGATTACCTGATAAGGACAAGTTAACAGTAGTGTCTTATCTTTTGTTTGTACTCAGAAGCAAAAGGCTCCCAAAATACCAATCATTAGCAGCATTTTTTTTTTTTTAATCAAAAAGGTTCAGTCAATGCAACATTTTGCCTGCAAAAGACACCAACTTACTGCAATTAACTTTTACCACTTATTACCTAAGTCATTTTGGCCCAGACCAGTTCCTTCTATGCTAACAATTTTATTTCTTTGCTGTCTACATTTTTAATCTCTTAGTTGTACCCCTACTCACCCTCTCCAAAGACTTAAGAAAATATAAGTCCCAAGAACTTGACCCTTCATTTTAGTATATGTTAAGTTTAAAAATATCGCTAAACATTAGGTATGCAACAAGAAAATCTGTGTACGGTCTCAATCAGCTCATACAGGTATATGAAAATTCATACAAATAAATGCTTGGCATAACAGATTCTGAACATAATTAAGAAAAAACTGGATTTCATTAAAACACTGCTTTTTGCAGTGATTTGTTTCCAATTCCAAACAAAACTTTCTGAAATGGAACCACGCTTCTCCCTGAATTGTATTCATTTCAAAAATGGTAACATTTGTTGAGAGGAAGAGGTCAGAATCCAGTATGTTTGGGTCTTTTTCACCCTGACCAGTGGCTTATGAAAAGTGCAAAGCAATCTAGAAACAATTGCTCGTCTTTTTTAATAAATAAACAAGGAGTTAGCATGTGGGTCGTTTCACTGAAAATATTCAGAAAATTTCTCTCGCTCCCACTGTATTGTTGCTGCAAAACACAGACCAAATATGCAACCTGCAACTACTTTTTCCCAGTCAAGTGTTTTTAATTTAAATATACAGTCCACTACAGCTACCAAGGTTACTCCCAGTATGAACTTCATTTCCTTTGCCTATGTTTTATAATTTTGGAAAGTGCGGTTAATAAACAATACCAACACACTACATAGTATTTTTGTATTTGTATTTCTAACTTACAGATATTGCATTGGCATCAAAGCATGGTTTCACCTACGATTCTCTTTCCCTCTCCCCTGTAATGTATTGCTGTACAGTCACGTTGCTATTTTTTTTCTTACCACCAGGGAAAACCGAGTTCTCAAAATCACCAAAGTTAACCTATTCCTAAAATCAGAACTGAACTTTTTTGAGGCCCAAGCTTCCTTGTTCAAAATACCCCTTTTCATGCTTTCATTTAACAGGCATAGGAATCATCCTAAGTCTCAGAAACATAATTTTATAAGGTACAAAAATCTGTTATGTCCATAGAAAGGCAAAGTAGAGAAAAGGTTGAGAAGAATCTGCTTGTAAGGAACACTGATCTGACAATGACAAGCAAACGTGGAAGGAACAGGAGAGCTGCAGAGGGACTGCCCAGCTTGCCTGACAATACATGTATTCAGTCAACACAGTAGCACTGAGAAAACTTTGGAAGAATTTTTAAAAGCATAAGTTGAAGGCAGACAATTAGTTTTAGAGGAAATTTCTCACTGGTCCCAACTGATTTACAAGAGTGCTGCCAATAGGAAGTATCAGTGTCTTGCTGCCAATAGGAAGTATCACTGTCTTGCAGGAAAAGTCTGAATATATTTTTAAAATGTAAATTTCTAATAGGCAATATGAAGCCAGCCAGGTTCTACAGGCAGCTGAAACCCCAACTGATTCACTTTACCTGATTGCAGAGAGCTTGGCCCAGGCCTGTTCTAGCTGCAGAACTAATGTATATAATGGGCTGCTTAGTATATAGCACGTTAAATCCTTCCACTGTATAATCTTCATAGCGTGTGTGAATAACAAGTCGACAGATTTTTAGGAGACCTTCACGATCATCTTCATGATAATAAGCTGACCCATTTTCATACCTGTAAGAAAATCTGAGTAAATATGACCAAAAAAACAAACAAACAAACAAAAACACCCAAACCAACAGCTAGTTTAGCAACTAAAATGAGCTCCTGCACTGGTTAGTGTTATAGGAGGACAAAGAAAGAGCAAAAAACTACCTTAACAGGAAAAATTCAGCAGAAGGAAGCTTTACTGAAACAGGCTGAGATGATGACAGAAGCCTTGTATATATATATTGATTTAAACTCAGAGACAAAGTAAAAAAGAAAAAAAAATATTTGCAGTCCTAAAAAACATTCCTTTACAGAGTTCAAAGCCTTGCTTAGTAAGAGCTGGGGTGGGTTCATCTGAGTTTATTATATGTAAATTCTAGACTACTAATTTTAAAGAGAATGCAACATGACATCCTTCAAGTTATGTTAGTAAAAATAGGAATAAGATACATGAAATAGGATAAATGGGCAGAAATGGGCAAACTTAATTATGAAGTCACAAATAAATATTTCATAATAGCCAAAAGTTACTGATGCCATTTGTAATTTACAAAGTTTGAGAGTAATACCACAATTTATTCAGTACACTGCAAAGCAATTTTCCAGATGTTTTAGATGGGGTACATAAATAAAATATTTTTCTTCCCTGCAAATATTTTAATGATTTTATAGCTATTTTGCCTTCAATCTGATTTATTAAGAACATTTCTTTGGGGCTTATGAGTGTGGGAGTGTGTTCCTGCTCCTCCCTTTCTAAGCACTGAACTCAAATTAGTACATTAAAACTTACAGTCAAGAAATAGGAGCAAAATGAATAGATAAGGTGTAAGTGTTCTGCACTGAGGGCAATCCGTTAACTGTTGTAACTACAGAAAACAGCAACAGCAGAAACAGCAGATGTGTCAATTTATAAAGCAACTTGCATGCTAGATATTTCTTTTAGCATTTTTTGTGCAACAAGTAAATCAACAGTCTTGTGACATTTCAGAACAGCATTTATCCGCAAGTTTATGTGAAGACACTGAAACATATTGCTGCAGACTATCTGATGCACAAATCCTGCCGAGTATTCCAGGGTTTAATTCCAAAATGACCCGCATGTAAACATTTACTTCACCTTTATGCAACATTTCTGTAACCTAACGTGGGCACAAGAAAATCCCTCTAGTGTTACTCATAGCCACAGAAAATGTCAAAAGGTATGAAACAGTTTACAGCATTGTATTTATTAAATGCTGTTGCCTATGAGTCACAAAACTTTGGGGACCACATTCCAAAAGATACTCCTCATTAATTACAAAATCACATCTCTCCTACATATAAATAAACATTTGGCAAAAGACCTGGGTTACCTGCAACTTCTCAAATTTCATCATCACACAAAGTTTCAACATATTTAAGTCAGACAGATAGTCATTATCATTGAATTTATAAAATAATCCTGATGAAGATAAGCCTAATAATAAAATCCTTTACGATCTACAATTCAAACAAATTTGTGTTAGCTTTACATATTTAGTTATATTAACTATTTAATCTTGTACTACACACAAATAAAGCCAACACTTCTCAGTAGCACTGGGAACATTTTCCGAAAGACGCAGTATCACGAGAGTGATAAAATGTTTTTTTTTTTGTTGTTTCAGGAAGGGAAAAGGAATTTCTAATCAGTGAATCCATCCCTACCTAGAAAAGTGAGCTAGACCCAGGAAGCGCAAAGGACAAATTAACTGAATACTACTATCAAAAATATGAAGCACCTCAAACCACAGCAACACAACATATACCTCAAAAACAAAAAGTTAAATGATCAACCAGCTGTAAGTCGGAACTGCACTTTGGTCCTTAGCTCCACCATATAGCCATTATAGTACTATTTTTATGGCAACCATATTCCTAACAAGTTCTGCCATTCAATGTCTTTAAAAAAAAAGAAAAATAATGTGATGTGTTAAAGATCTTTCAAAGAATACCAGTAATTTCATGATAGCAGTTTCTTGATATCACACGTATTTTTAAACGATTATTACTGCCCAGTTTTACTTATGTTATTCAGAGCGACTCACCTGAAAAGCCTGCAGAGCCAGAGGGTAGTGTCAGAAAGGATCCTTGTTGTAAGTTTTCTCAGTCTTTCCCTGTCCAGCACTGATATATAAGCAGCCAAACTATGCCCCAGTAGAGCCATGTGACCCTGTTCACCAACATTTTGAAGTCTGCAAGCCAGAACAGAGAAACTGCCAACTAAATTCAAGTCACAAACATTTCAGTAAATTTAGGTTTGCATGTTTTTACTACAGCAGTAGAATTTGTTGACATGTAATTTTAAATATTTATCAGAGGAAAATACAGTATACCAGTCACCATCTTGCTGTTGTATGTTACCATACTAAAATGCCAGTGTAGACATTGCACTTCACTTGGCCTAGCTGCTTACAGTAACATCTCAGCTTCTTTTTAGCCATCCAAGGTAAATCCTACTGATAACCAAAGGTTTACTGTAATCAGCAAGCATGAGTTGGAACTAGGCTCCTTATTTGCATTGTGACTTTAATGTACATTAAACATATACCTTCTCCTCTTCATGCTGACAAAACTCAGGGGACCGTTATTACAGCATAGCTTTCATTAGTTGATTTTTTTTCCCCATCTCCAAACTGTTTTTCAAATATTAGTTTTCACTACACTTCTACAGATAAGTTAGTATTATTTCCATTTTGCAGGAAAATGGAAACCTCCTTTAAACTTTACAGGGTGAGGTAATAAATAAACTTTCAGAAAGTAAAAAATGAAATGAGCTGTCGTATCAGAGAGAATTCCCTTGTACAACTCCATTTACTAATAGCCCTAACTTGATGAAAGCTTGATAATTTTAAGAAAGCCAAGCCTAATGCATTACTCTGCTTTGCTATATAATGTAATTAAGTAACCTTTAAAAGTCACATAGTTGCATAATATCTTTTTACGTTTAAGCATTTTGAAGTGTAAGCTCTGTAATATCACGGAGTAGACTAAAATCAGGTATCTTTCACATACAACAATTCATATTGACTTTACCGGTAGGCCTGTGAAGACTCCTCTTCCTCCTCACCATGCATTAGGTTCTGAACTAACTGAAGTATGCTCACCATGTCCTGGCCACTGTGTTACCAGTGAGAGGAAACAACAACAACAAAAAAAAACACATCAAAAAAACAAATGAACAACAAATTAAGCACCACTGCCTAGCCAAGAGGCCATTTAGGACACAATGACATTTGGAAATGCTTTTAATTCTTAGAAAAAGCTAATTCAGTGTCTCAACTCCAGAACAAGGTTAATTTATGTACATAGAAGACTTAAATAGATTTTGCCATGTTTTCTGAAGAAAAGATTTCCTCTTCCAGAGCAGAGGTTACAACAAATTTTAAGTCTTAGTTTTCAGATGCAATGATTTTATCTGCCATATGCACAAAAGCTCCATAAAATTTTTAGATAAAACTGGATTTTTAAGTTCTTATTTTTATTTTTTTTAAACTTTTCTGCCTTGTCAGTTATTAATTTGTTGTCTTGGTGTTTTAATGAATTTCAATTCTATAGCACAGGTGTATCTATATTTATTGTAAGTCTTAATGACAACAATATGTACCAATGCACCAATTGTTTCCAATTGTTCAAAATTTCAGTCAATAAGGACAAGTAATCTCTTTTTCCCTGCATGAATATGGAAAAAGTCACAGTTGTTGTTACAATGCCAGACCTGGTAAATGCTCCTGTTTGCCTTAACACAGAAGTGTTACATGTATTTTACATATTCTAAACAGTATAGAGCATTATCCAAAAACTGTTGTTGCCCACCTGCCTTGCAGTGGTCCAGGAATATCCTTCCGTGCATACTTCTTTTCATTTTCCTCCTCTGCTTTTCTATGTTAAAGACACAAGAACAAATTATGTATTTAGTTTATGTTTTGCAGCATCAATGTAGCTGTCTTACAAAAATATTAAAAGTTACTTGCACAGCAATAGGAAAAGATCTAACAACCCTGAAAAAAATGGACTTGCTGGACTTGCTCTGAATATATTAGAGAACATGCATAAAAACGTGTGTGGATATTTTTAAAATCCTATTACTTGAGAAACAGCAGTTCGTTTACGTATAAGCTTCAGAAGGACAGTATGACCTTCAACTACCAGGAAAATGTGTTCTATCCCACTTAATGACAATGGCATTAATAATCATACCCTGAGCACAAACAGGTATTGTTTTATGGTTGTTATTCTTTGTATATACCTTTGATTGTCTTCTAGCATCTTCATTGCTTCATTCAGATTCTTTCCCATTTCGGCTAGAGTAGGGTCAACCATCTGTCAGGAAAATAAAAGATAACTTCTATGAAAGACCAGAACATCGTTTATCTTACTACTGTCCCCACAAGACACTTAGTACAAATTAATGCATCAGACATGCATGTGTACTCAATTTAAAATAATATGCTGTATAACCTGAATCCAAAATAGACAAAAATGAAAACATATTATTAACCTAAAATAACTAACCCAAAACAGAACACAGTTATGATGTGGATTTTATTATTGATAGATTCAAGATTCTTATTAAAAAAAAATCCTCTAGCCCCTCTGCCATAATAGTAACAGGAAAAAGCCAGGAAAAACAAAACAAACAGACCACGATCAGTGGATAAACCCAACACTGTTATTTCTTACAAGAAAGTTACCTTCTAGAAAAAGAAGCTGATTGGAAAGCTGAAAACTGACTAGTGTGACCAAGGCAGGTTTTAGGTCACTGAGTTGCAACCTCTAGCTGCACAAAACAGGTTAAAAATAACAAATTCACTCCTGAGACCAGGTAGCAACAGATCCCTGTTAAAGAGACTGTTGGGGTGGAAGAACTTTTAAAAAAAAAAGTTGAACCTATCCCATGAACCAGTGTTGAGGGATTTTTTGAAACAGCAAAAATCCGATGGCTTGCTGTAGCTGAGCAAATCAAGCTACCAGGGCAACTATGAGAAGTTCCCATGACAGTGTTCCCACATCGCCCAATTGAGGAATTCAGAAAAACATTGTTACCAGTAGCTGGCTTCAAGGACAAGGTCTATGTGACTGCTAATCACAAGGGGGTTGTTTTCTTGCAGGTGGGGTTGTTTTCTTGTAGTTGTTTGTCTGAGTGCTTTTGACCAGTAATCTTGTGTGAAACACTGTTCACCCCTGTTAAGTTTACTATAAAAGTTATGCTATTAGGGCAATAAAATGGAGCACGATCTGACTCTACTGGTGTCTGTCGTGCTTTCGGCTGTGCTTCCTGCAACAAACCAGGTAACAAGTTCAAAGACAAGCAAGTATTATTTTCTAAAGAACTACTTTGACTTTGAAGAAGTCTCTTTGAGAAGTTGAACCCAAGATGCCTGGCTACACTGACACAAGAGATCTGACCAGGAATATTTATCTGTTTGGATATCTGATTGGAGGACCTAGAAGCTTCCAGAGGATGTGAAAGGTATCATCTCAGGGCTTGGTTTACCTACAGTGGTTGATATTAAACAATATTTGAGTATTAAATGTAGCCCATTATGAAGGTAGAAGGCAAAACCACCGATACGACTCATCAGATCTGACAGCAAAATACTCTAAGATACTCAGGTGACCTTTTCATCGGTCTCTCTTCTCCCTTCCCCTGCTCCCAAACGCACTGTAAGCATAGTGTCTGCAAATTCAGTAACAACCATTTTTCAAGAGACTCATCCTTATTCCAAAGCCTCCAGTAGTTAACCACTTCAACTGCTACTTCAGTGTTTTTGTTGCTTTTTTTCTTTTTCTTTTTCTTTGTATGTGTGTGGAATTGGTGGTTGTTGCTTTTAAAAAATATCTTTACCAAGTTTAATATTTAAGCTTACCCTACCCATAGGGCAGGGCCATAATTCCTTGTCTGCACAGTGTTTGAGCACCAGTAGTCCTCAAGGCCTGCACATGCTTTCCATTACCACTGATGGAAAAACATGTAATTGTGCTGCATCCGTGGTGTGACACAGGCCAGTATGTTTGCTCACACAGAGGCAGACACAAGCAAATTTAACCGCAGAAGGAAGTGGGATTAATTTGCATGAGGATTTTACACTACTTTCATCTGGAGGATTGATCAAGGAGGAAAAAAAATGAGAGTTACCATATGTTCAAAGACTATTTTTACCAAAATATTTAGAGATTTAACTCATATCATAGCAAGTGGTAGGTGGCTAGAAGAATCAGTAGCCAGGCACGGTCTCACTGGCTCAAACCAAGGCTGACAGCTCTCTGCACTCTGTCCTTTTAGGAGTGGCCAGCAACTAATGCTTCGGGGCAGAATAAAGAACAGTGCATCCCATAATGTTTTCCCACAGTAACCCCCAGCAGCTAACAACAGACGCTTGTTTGTTTGCTTTTTACACTTCTAGCTTCTATAACATCCAGTGGCGGTGAGGCCCAGGACTTCTTCACATGCCATGTTACAGCATTACAAACTTGCAAAGTTTGTGACCTCACTGCAGAGATAAAAAATACCTACACGTATGCTGCAAGCATCTGGTACTCAGAACACAACATACACAGCTAGGCAAAAATCCTAAATACGATCATTGGCAGTATTTCCATACATTTTCAAAGCGTCCAGAGAAAAAGGTCTTAGAGACTCCCTGGAGCACAACTGATTTTTAAGGGAGTAATAAACATAATTTCCTGACATGACTAGTCAATCTCACATACCTTGCTACAAGTTGCCATAAAACACAAGCAATGCTAAGGCAGTTATTTGCTTGAACTTTGCTTAAAGTTAGATGCAAATATTCTAACAGATCTGTTGGAGATGCTGACACAAGATGTAGAGCCATTACAAAAAAGCCTCTGTGTTGCTTTTGGTTGTTACTAACACAATTAATTCACCTGCTGGAATGACAGCAGATGTTAAAGCCTGCATATGCTTACCTTGTGACTCACTGAGTCTCAGTGGCAATTACCCATGTATGAAACCCTTGTGTCAATAAGCTAGCAGAACAAAGACATAAAATACAGTTTTCTGTCATGAGACAAACTCACGAGAAGTTATGCCAAGCAACATAAAATGCTATGACATCCAGCAAGTCCTCCAGTTCTGATCTGGATTTAAATGGAAGATGAACCCCTTCTGCATTTTTCCAACTGCTAGGTGGATGCACAGCAACTCATTCTCTCCTTTGAACTACAAGATGCAAAAGAATCCTTTTGTTGCTGCGCACTGAATTTTATACATGCTCCCTCCTCTGCTCACATCATGGAGGTGGGACGCAGCAGACTATCTGCAGAATTTAAACAGCAAGAAAAACAGGTGTGGTGAAGTTGCAACAGCAAGCCACTCAGTTAGGGAAATTCTGGACACACTTTAATGACATGCCGTGATCATGTGGTACATTGTTCAGTTCAGTCTGTAAACAAGGTCATGTGTGGATAGACCCCAAGCAGCAATAACGGAAGGTTTTTTCATGCTCTTGAGCTAAGACTAGCAGACAAGCGGAATACTACATTCTGACCACAGGTCCACATCCATTTGGGGGAGGTGATGGGGGTGAAAAACAGCTGCACAGATGTAAAAGGCATCCTGCCTGCACTAGGCTTTTCATAAAGACTTTTCCAACACAGTAAGATCTACAAACACAACTGTAGAACCAGTAGCCATAACACTTACAGAACAGCAGAAGACGAACTTACGTATGTGTAAGGGAAGTGCGTCGAAGGCTCATCCTTCTCATGAAGGTAAGAGAAACCTGCATGCCAGAAACATTACTGGCCTGGGGCAACCTGAGGTAGCCCTGCTGCACAAACTGCCCAGCCCTTCCCAGCAAACTGTGGAACCATAATTTCAAGATCCTATAAAAGCAACCCACAAAAACAAACATGGGAGACAGAACTTGGAAGGTGTTAACCTGAATTTAAGTACCCATCTATGCAACCTGAAATTCTACACTTGGCTTGCATGGTCATCACTGCCAGGCCATCAAACTCATTCAGAACCTTCCTCCTTGGGCACCTGAAAGAGCCTTTTGTCTTCCTACCTGAGAACCTTCACATTGCAAAACTGCAGACTGTTTCAACTCTCAAAAGCATTTTGAAATGTTTGCTGCGTAATTCACTTTCATTCAAATGTATTTGCAGAAGCCTGAATGTCTTTCATTGCACTGCTTGTCAATCTTCAACACACTGCACTTAAAATCTCACATTTTATTTCAGTGCTTTAGTTTATGTAGGACTTCTAGCTATTTGCTGGCCTGATAAAAAGAGTAAGTTTCAGGGACTCTTCTTTGCTTGCTTGTTTATGAGTGGGTAGGCCAGCAAAGCTGGATTTCTTCTTCCTTGCTTCTTGATTACAACTGTTAGAAATTTACCTTCAAAACAAGCTGCTTGTCCGGTCATTGAGTGCCTACAGTCTCCATATATTTACAACCCATCTTGAAGAAGAAGTGAAGGAGAAGTAAAACCTTCATGGGACAAACAAAGCAAATACAATGTTAAAGCAGGGTGCACTGACACCCCACCTGAGCTCACTTTCACCAACAGGCTTCATCCTCGAGTTCCTCCAAACCAATTTGTTTGACCTCCTGCAGGGTTTGCATCCTTTACGTGCACTATCCCAATAAATTTGTTTTCAGCTCTGCAGTTCTTTCTGCCAAGTACTAGGAGAACTTGTGGGAAAGCTGCGGGCACTTCTGTCCTCCATCCAGCACAATGGAACGTTCATGCTTCTAAATTCTTCTCTATCTGGTGAGCTCACTTGCATTAAACACACTTTAATTATTTTTACCTTTTTTTTCCCTGTTTAAGCCTGAGATGATTCATGGGGTTGCTCAGGCCTACACTTCCTGCAGAACTGAAGGACAGGGGAGTGGTGTGGTTGCTTCCTTTTAGATTGTGTCCAGCAGCAAACCAGTGAAGCAGGGGACTAAGTCTCCTGCAGCACAAGCCAGCTCTGTTGGCTCTGATGCTTGACAGCCTCCCCGTACCTGCAGTAGCTCCCACCTCTAATATTAGCAGGTGGATCCAGGCTCACTATCAACATCCACTGCTTTTCCTTTGCTGAAAAGGCACTTAGGGAAAAATGCAAACAAGGAAACAACTCTAAAAACCGGGACATTAGTTACTTGCAGATGCAGAAACTGAAACTGCTCATATTAGCCTCAGTTTCTGCCCTCAGCCCTTCCCTAGGATCACTGGATGACTGACCACAGTTAGCTGATCCTTTACCCAGGTAGCTCCCATGACATGCCACGTCCTTTCAAGCTCCAAGAAGGCACCAGCCACCACTTAGCCCTTCATTCTGCATCCCAACACCTCCTGCCCCCTCCGGTTCATCCAGAACCCTGACACTCACTCACTTATCTCAATCTTAGCTGTTGTTGCCTTCGAGATGCACTAATTAAATTCAGTAAGGTTAATGTTGTAAGAGGCACAATTTGTATTTACTTTTGCATTTTGTAACTAATCTCTTATTCTTTAAGCACTTTGAACTGTAAAACGCAGGCAGCATGTCACACCTCGGGGTCACCTGGCAACAGGGGAAAGATAAGGAGTCATCTCCGGTTGTGATAAGACCGAACACCAATTACAAATTCGAAAGTGAGAATGCTGCTTCATATCAGGGTTTTACAATCTTTACTTTGCACTTCTGCTGGCTGTACTCCTAATGCCAGAAAGGGATGAGTTCAAACAGTCTGCATGAACTATTCTGTGTGCAAAGAGACTCACAGGCGCAGCACAGTACTTCACCAGAAGCATGCCTTATTTCCCCCCTATGTTATTATATTTGCCTAGAAAAAAAAAGTTTTACCAAGAAAAAAAAAACTGTTCTCAACAATAAATTAATCTCAAACAATGATCAGTATTCTTCAAGCCAAAATAATACTGTGTTTATTCTGCAGGCTAAGAAATGCCTTAGATGACAAATAAAAAAGCAGCACTTCCCTGTTAGTCTTGAATGCAAAAGGCTAATATTACCACAAGGCTTCTGCTTACAGGCATTTGCTCTTTTAAACTTTATCACTTCCTTGTCATGCAGCAGGACTGGCACACACATCTGCTGTCACAAGCACTCCCTGAAGTTACCAGGATGTTGTGGTAATTAATGCAGGAACAAAGGAAAAAAAAGTCACAGGCTGAGAGAAAAGCCCAGTTTATTCAATGTTTAGGGGAAACAGTGCTGCGGAGACAGCATGGAGATGCAAAGAAAGAATCTGCCCTATTTTACCAGTGACAATCACCTGACTTGAAACTTAAAATGTTAAAATCCTTCAAGAGTGGTCACATACCACAATATAAACAAAACAATAAATAAATAAATAAATAAATAAATAAATAATCATAGATCTGCTGCCCAAACTTCTCGAGTTGAACATAGGCTTCCAGAAGAAATTAAACCTGAAGTTCACACCCAATTTTCTGGAGGAAAAAAAAAAAAAAAAAAAAAAAAGCATTCTAATTATACCACTGAAGACACACAATGATCATAAATTAAAAAACAGAAAGCCATATCTGATAAGACAAAGATCACTTGCAAAACTAAGCCATGAGATTGTTGGTGTGCATAACCGCGTGTCAGATTCTACAAGTTCTCCTCGCAAGCCTATCATGCAATGTTTTCAACTCTCAAGAAGTTTCTCACACACTTCAATCATTTCATTTGCATGCAACTAATGAGTGTAGTCATTCATCGTCACCCCATAGTGAGGTGATGCCAATAAAAGGCCTTCTTCATTATGAAAAATAAAAAGTTCTGACAAACTTTTATACAAGCACTTATCACTTATATCCCAATAAGCTGTATGCATAAATACATAAAAAGGAGACATGGTACAAATAAGACATTCAGATGCATTATGATAATGCTTAATAAGCACAAGGTAAGCGGATGCACATTCTCGGAGGATAAAAATATCCCAGCTTGGATGAATTTCAATTTGATTCATGAAGAACAGTTCTTTTATATCACACACAAGACCGAATAAAGTGCAGATTTTACTGATTCACAGCAATCTTGACTACTTCAAGAGGGCACTAACTGCTAAGTGCATGGAAGATTATAATTGGTTATGACATGACACAGAGTGCTACAGCTTTTATCATCCAAGGCGAAAAGAGCCATGATTAAAAAAAAGAGAGATAAAGTAAAACAAATGATAACTCTTTACACATATCTATTAGTGTACACTGAAAATGAGACACACAAGTTTTCACAGGGACCTCACCCTGACAGACTACTACTGACATCAAGAATTCAAATAACCAAAACACAGACTTCTACTCCTCACAAAATTTAAGCATTAATTCTTGCAGGGTGTTTTCCTTGCTTGTGATGACCTAGTTGCACACAGTTTATAAGCAGTCTGTCAACACTATTGAGCAGTAAGTTTCCCTGTATTAGCATGCCTTCTTTAAAGTCTGCTGGACTCAAGCACAGTAAAGACCATATTCCAAATTAGTAGTCAGTTACGTTTTACTTATTAAAACTTTTCAGAACAATGAGCAGTCACCATGACTTCTGATAGTGCTAGTAAAGACCTGAAGCATTTAAAGCCAACAAAATACTCCTGAACATTCATTGCATTCTAATACAGCTAACTGTTTTGCTGCCTACCTACTAACCACGTCAGAAGGAGTCCTTCTGAATTTCCTTCTCATTCATTTTACTGCAGCACATCCCATTCACACTTGTCTAGCTGATTCCAAAGACTACAAAAAAACGAACATGCTGAGTACAGGAAATGATGCAAAGTGGAAGGAAGCAGTAACATCTCTTCAGCACACAGAGCATACGCTGCTGCAAATGCATACTGTTCTGAAAGGCATACAACAACGGAGATAAGCCATATACAAGTAATGGTGATAAGCCATATACGAACAAGGGTGATAAACCACATCCGAGCAGCCGGCCCTCCTCGCTTTCAGGACACGTCTCCCGAAACACCGCAGGTGCAATGAGAGCCAGAAGCGTGACAGGTCCCAGAAAACTCCTCCAGATTCTGACCCTCAGTGACAACGGCAAAATCAAGTTTCTCAGTGACTGACATCATTACACAATTGCTGTTTGCTTTATACAGGGCACTGAACAGAAAAGAGCAAACAGCGTGATTTCCCCAGTGCCCTGCTGCTGCCCAGGAAACGAAACCGCCAGGGAGCCCCCAGGAACCGTCAGGGAGCCCCCAGGAACCGTCAGGGGCCGGGCTGTGCAGGAGGAGCCGTGCTCACACCTCAGCCAGGCGCCAGCCCCGTACCTCAGGCCCGGCGGGGCGGCCCGGGAGCCCCGGGGCCGTGCGCGCTCGGCCCCGGTCCGCGGCCCCCTCCCCCCGGCGACCCCCTCGCCCCTCGGGGCCCTCCCGTCCCCCCGCACACCTTCTCCAGAGAGGCGTCCATGGCCGGGGCCGCCCCGCGGCTCGCCGCTTCCGCCGGGCCCGGGCGGCTCCACGCTGGCAGCGCTGACGAGGCGGCGGCGGGCGGAGCCGGCAGCGCTCACTGAGGGCACAGCGGCTCCCCGCGCTGTGGAGGGCGGGGGCTGTGAGGGCGGCCCGGCCGCGATGGCGGCGCGGTGGGCGGGCAGCGTGCTGCTCTACGCCGGGCTCACGGCGGCCGGGGCCGCGGCGCAGCGGCGGGGCCGCGGGCAGCCCCCGGACTGGGCGCAGACGCGGCGGGTGGCGCTGCTGGCCCTCACCTTCCACGGCAACCTCAACTACGTGTGGCTGCGGGCGCTGGAGAGGGCGCTGCCCGGCCGCCGGCCAGCCGCCGTGCTGGGCAAGGTGCTGTGCGACCAGCTGCTCGCCGCCCCGGTCGCCGTTGGTGCCTTCTACACGGGTGAGTGGCTCTGCGGCGCCCCCGGCCGTCCCATTGCCGAAAGGCAGCCGAGCGCGGCTGTGAGGGAAGCGGGGCAGCTCAGCGGGCTGTGCCCGGCTCTGCCTCACGGGTGTGTAGAAGAGAAGCACAGCGCGCTGCCGTCAGTGATGAGGGGTAACCTTGACAGCCAAGAAATAAGAAGAAACTTTAGACTCTGAAGAGACTATCTGCATGGTAGCGGGAGGTCTGCGCTTTATGACCCTGCCAGGAATTCGCTCAGTTTATGACTGAAGAGAAAGGAAGCCAAGGAAGAAGTCAAACGTGACATTTTTACTTTCTGCTCATGTCAGAATGTGAGCAGAGGCTTGCCCAAGGACCAGGAGGATGTGAAGGACCGAAGAAGGAAGGGAGGGTAAAAATACCTAAACTAGGTGGCAGCAGGAGCCTGTAACGTGTCAGCTGAGAGATACTGACAACCTCGTGGCATGCGAATATCTAGAAAGATACCTGCGGTGGGCTTAGTGACTTTGGGTTTCTGCTATGTGCAAACGTGTAGCTTTGGATTTTAGATCAATTTGCTACAAGCATGTTGACATACAAGTTCGTAGAATCATCAGGGTTGGAAAAGACCTTTATTTGGTCCAACCATCACCCTACTGCCAATGTCACCCACTACACCATGTCCCTAAGCACCACGTCCAACCTTTCCTTCAACACCCACCACCTTCACTTAATGTAGGTTACATCTTCCAGTTACGGTGGGTGATCTCCAAAGGGCTGCTACAGCTTTTAGAAAGACACCTAGTTTGACACGTGAAGGTTCCCATCACAGGGAGTAGTTTAAAGGGTTCATTATTTTGACTATTTTGCATTTTATCTCCAGTTTGTATGGTCAAATCCATAATTTCAAATCATGCTGCTTTTCTCTTTTCTTGGGTTTAATGATGGGAGCTTGCTGCAAGGTTGTGTTTGCCTAGAATCGAGAGGAGCTTGGACCAACTAGAATTTATTTACAGTTTTGAAATGCTGCCTGTGGAGAGTTCTACAAGTAGGTTTTGAAACTGTTCTACTTGTCTATTCTAGGATTTGGATATAAGGTAGATATTTATGAAGATAAAAATAGCAGGCTGATTATGGCCAAAATATTTTTTTTTTTTTGAAAAAAAAGGCGCCCTTTTCCACTGACTTCAGTGGGCTGGGGCACCTAAACTCTGTTGAGGACCTGGGCCACTTCTGGCAATTCAACAATATGCACGGTGCCTCATTCTGTCTCCTGGGTGTAAGATGTGCTTGTGTTGTATCTGCTTCTACTGCCACTGCAGAGTTACGTGGGCAGAGACCATGTAACTGAGAGCCACATAACCTGGAGTGCCAAGTCAATAGATGAGGATATATGATGTAGCAATTTTAGGTTGTAGGAATGGTATTTTTTCTTTGTAATATTTATCAACTTTTCTTTCAAAATGTATTTTGAGAACAGGTTGGGATATTACTGAAATTAAGTGAAAGTTTTATTATTTTTTTCTGATTGTCTTAAATATTTTACCACCAGGTATGAGCATCCTTCAGAGGAAAGAGGACATCTTTTCAGACTGTAAAAATAAATTTTGGAATACCTATAAGGTAAGGCAAGCGATTAACTCATCACCCAGCTACACAACAAAAATAACATTATTGCATAAAATACTTTAAATATTATGTCTTCCTCTAACAGCCTCCATCTTATTTCATTATTTGATTATGTGTAGGAAACTTTTAAGTACCAGCAGTCATCTGAAGTCCAGGTAATTTGGGGCAGGCAGGACTGCCAGATGGATGAAATATTCCCATTCCAAAATTGCACAATATTTATATATATATAAAACACTTGCACCCAGCTCTGTTTGAGTGAGAGCCCTACAGTACAACACCGAATGTTATACGCTAAAATTGTACTACCTTTCCTCTTAAGAAGTACGCATGCTCCAGTGTCTAGTTAGCAATACTGTTGACAACACATACGTGAACACCTGTTAAAAACATTAGTTATAGAGACATCTTTTTTAGGAATCATTTTGAGCCTGTACTTTTCACTGACAGTCTTCTCACTTTCAGAAATGCAATCCCTTGTTCTAAGAAGGCTTGGATATAAATAGCTGTTTTTGGTTAGCATTTCTCTATACAGAGGAAAAAAATGTGTGCTATTTCAGAGCTGAGCAACTTAAGAATTTTAAAGATTTCTCAGGCACGGGAAGAAAGATAGATTAAAATAAAAGTATAATAGAAGGAGAAACTGTGATGTACAACGTGCACTTCTCTTTACACTGGTAGGATGTAGGTAGGATAGAAAAGGATTATTTTTACTGCTGGAGAAGATGACTCTAAAAACAGTGCCCACTCTATGCTATCAAAACATAAGGTTTCTATTGACCTGATGTTCTACGAGTAAATTCTCCGTTGATTTTTGCAAGAAAGTCTTACGTGTATGAGTAACTAGAGGGAGCATTGAACGTGTGAAATAAATAGTGTTCAGTGGTATTTTTCATTCATGGCTGAAACAAATGTTCACATATTTAAACATTTGTTCACCCATCTGGTAAATGTGCTTATGTATTTGGTGTCAGGTGACTTTGAAGACTTCACTGTAATTAGAGCTTTGTATTTAAAATGAGTCAGAACAATCTCTTGGAAAAATTCCTTGCATGGCAGCTCATAAAGATGATTAGTAGTTTAATATTGCAACCTCAAAGTTAACCAGCTTAATTTATATTTGACCATCTTTTATTAACTTTATTAAAATATATTTTAGTCTTTGCTAAATGTGGTAGGAAAAACTGAATCTTTGTGGTTGAAGTCTACAAGATTAACATGATTCATTTTCATTTCAGACAGGACTGATGTACTGGCCTTTTGTGCAGGTGAGTTTCGGGGTAACTCAGTGAGCCTTTCTGTAAAACCTTATGCTATGCATTTAGAGGATATCTAACCTAATGAGAAGTCAGTGGAGTTTTGGGGTGTGTAAGTACAAGGCCTAACACTGACTGTAGCACTAACTGAGCTCTCTCTCCTTCCAACACAGCTGTCAAACTTCGTTTTTGTTCCCGTTTACTTGCGCACAGCTTACACTGGGCTTTGTGGCTTTGTTTGGGCTGCCTTCATTTGTTTTTCCCAAGAGAGTGGAGATGGCACAGTAAAGTCAGCATTTATGTGGCTCCAAAGAGAGAAGGTCAATGCAGATGAAGAACCATCAGAGAAATAAGAACTTCAGTTCTGAACCCATGCTAAATTGTTAAAGTGAGCTTATGAAAGTCAGTAAACCACACTGCAGCCTCATTGCTGTGTTTCGAATAATTATCTCAACATTTTTTGGTTAGTAGGATCTGTTTGTCTTTTTGCCTGTTTATTTTTTATAAAATAGGCCAATTGTATATTGGCACTTAATTATTTTCATGCTGCCAGCCCATCTCTTCTGGGAACAACTGACTTACAGGGCAGCATAAGCATTTGCACATCATGTCAGACTGTCTCACTGGGGAGAAATATTAACTGTAATTTAATTTTCAAGCAACTTGTAGTCTCTAGAAAAAGGGGAATAGAACATTAAATCCTCAACTGTTGTATTTGACAATTGTTATCAGTGCAAGATTGCTTTTGCAGAACAAAATTTAATAGATTTCTTATCTTAACAGTGGCACCAACTCTATTTTATTTAGAGGAAAAAAAAAAGACTCTATTTGTAGAAATATATTTGTGTTCCTTTTCTCTTAACCGGGAGAACAATTGTGTTTGGACAATGCTCTCTGCCACATGGTCTGATTTTTGGGTGGCCTGGTGCAGACTCAGAAGTTGGACTCAATGATCCTTGTGGGTCCCTTCAACTCAGGATATTCTATGATTCTATGATTCTGTTCATAGGAGACACTGTCATATAGTAACTATACATAGGAAGCTAGGAAATGGTGAAAATCAATTATAGACTTATTTTGTCAACTGAGGACCAGGTCTGGATGTAGGTAGGGAGAATAAGGGAGCTCTTAGTTTATTAGAACAACATTTTACGCCTTAAAATTTAAGCTTGAAACAGTATCTGATTTAACCTATCTTTATGATGATTGTAAGGACAAGACTTAGCCCTCTTTGTTGTGATAATAATAACTACTTTGAGGAACATCTAAGTTCCTCAGTCTTACCTAAACAGTAAACCAATGCCTGCTTAGGCTACAAATGTACACTCCTTTGGCCAGCAGCTGTACTACTTAATGTGTTGGTTACAATGGTTTGTCACTGCAGGAGCCCAGTGCTACTTAGGTCAGACAGGGAAAGGGATCACGCGAGCACTGCCCTATCTATTCCAGGTAAAATCAAGTTTAGCAGGACCCATTAGTCAAGAGTGGTGCAAAGTACCTGTGTGGCCTTTACAGAACTACAGTATATTGGAGGAGGTGTGTGTGGGGAGGCTCTTTATACAGTCCGTTTTGGTGGCAGACTGGTGAAGGAGGTAGCTTCCTTCTCAACAGAGAAGTCAGTGCAATTCCATCATCACCTGGCACAGGTAGACCTGGAAGAGGGCACCTGCACCTGCCTTAAATAATTAATTTTAATTGACTTTAGACATCTGTAGCATGGACATCTGCAACTTGGCTAAATACTTTAAGCTCAACTTATAGTCAGTGGGGGAAAACAGGTAGTTTGGGATATCTGTCTTAGGGTAGGATGAATCCTGCA